ACATCTGCCTCTGTCTCACGGCGGCGGTCGCCTTGATCATCGTGGTGTCTGTGATATTGGGGTTGACCGTGTTCAAGCCCAAACGGCCAGTGACCGTCATCGATTCGGTGGCGGTGGATCAGCTGCGAGCTTCGGTGGACATGGCGAGGATGAGGGTTCTCCTCAATCTGACCCTCGACGTGGACCTCTCCCTCACAAACCCTAACAGGGTCGGATTCAGCTACGACCCGACATCTGCCCTCCTCAATTACAGAGGAGACCTGATCGGAGAGGCTCCGATTCCGGCGGGTCGGATCCCGGCGGAGGGGAGGAAGCCCATGAACCTAACCCTAACTCTGATGGCGGATCGGCTTCTCTCGAACTCCCAGCTCCTCTCCGACGTCATCTCCGGCGAACTCCTCCTCAACACGTTGGTGAAGGTCACCGGAAAAGTGAGGATCATCAACTTATTCAACCTGCGAGTTCGATCGTCCTCCTCCTGCGATCTCACCCTCTCCATCTCTGCTCGCAACGTTACGCGCCAGGTCTGTAAATACTCCACCAAGTTGTGACTTGCGTGTGATTAGGAAAGCTTTCATCTTTTTTTTTTTTTTACATCTTGTTCTTGAGCAGCTTTATCTGCATACCACTGTTTTTTTACGGTTCTTGTTTTTTTTACAGTTTTACTCTTTAACCCAGTATATGCATGTTTTTCTTCTTCTTTTCCCTAATATATATATATATATTGTATAATAAAAAAGAGCGATTTTGGAGTTAACCACAACCTAAAAAGAATGAGGGTACTTCCATATTTTGTTTTTTTTCCTCCATGAAACAAACATACAAAAAATACACATGGACCAACCAACCAGTATGCGCGAGTCATGACAAAATACAATATATATATATATATATATATGAAACTGAGACACAGACAAAGTTCCCAACCTGGGGGATCTTCAAGAAACATGTTGTCACTACTTTAGATTGCTAAATCACCATTGTCTGGCTGCTGCCCTTCTCACGAAGTTGCAGAACCCATTAATACAGAAACAGGCACTAAGCTGTGAGGCGATTCTGAAATGATTTGTTTCAAGGAGATGTGTGAGTTCTTTTCTCGGATGATCCGGAAAAAAGACCAGATAAATTACCGTCCCAGGATGTCCACTGTCCCTAAAACAAGATGCAGAAGAACAAATGGAAAATAAAGCATTGGTTTTTGTCCTTTTTTGAGAGAACTGGAACAACCACTGTGGCTCATGACCAAACTGCCAACTTTGCCCCCACGAACAATAGTTACTACGGCAAAATACAAGGCTGGATACTAAGCTATCTTATGTACAGTAAAAGTGGTTGAAATCAGAAGAGATTTCTGCGAGAGCCAGAAAGGTTGTTCCTTGAAACCATGGATGGCTTGACGGGAGCCCCAGGACAGGTATCTGGGTTGTGTTGTTGGTGGTAAGGGCAGTGGACAGGTACAGGAGTCTTGCAATCATTAAAAGCCCAGAGTTCGGTTGGATTATTACCACCACTGCCCCGGATCTGCAGGGCGACAACGGATTCCAGTAGGTTCTGATAAATGGAATCAACTATCGCTTCGTCCGAATCAGAATCAGCGACTCCAACTTGGTCGGAAGAATCAGGACAAGGGCTTATCCTCATCTTATCAGTGAAGGGTTGATGGCAATTGGGGGACAAGGGAACGGCTTCAGTAGATGGAGCTAATGGGCGGCTTTCACGTTGAGAATCAGAAGCCATAGACAATGAGGGAATACCTCCACGATCCATGGCGGCAAAAGATCTGGAAGAACACAACCGCACTTACAAAAAAAAACACAAAATTCGAGAATTTCTCAAGTGCCTGAAGTGATTCCGCGACCAAAGGAGAGGAGAAAATCAAGACCCCATATGGAAAAAAAAAAGAATACAGACGTAAATTCGCAACGAGAGACGAGGAAGGAAGAACAAGATTTACCTTTGGGGACGCAGACTCCAATGGAGGGAGAGTGCCCGTTTTTTAGGGATTTCGATAATTATAATCGAGACGGAGACTGCAACGGGAGAGAGAGAGGGGGAGGCTGGACTTCTTAGAATCTAATCTGACGGCTCTCGTTTCACGACCACCTTCCAATCTCCAACTCCTCCTCAGATTATGTCCTAAACCCAACCCGCTGCTGCCACGTGGCCAAGCACATAAACATGAAATATTTAACAAACGATCTCTGCAAAAGAATCACAAGAAAATATATATAAGGACGTTTACTTATCTGTAGGTGTGTTGTGTTCTTTTAAAAGAAAAAGCGTACGAGTTTCTGCATTAATTAATTATAATTAATTTATAAATAATTACGTGGAGGGATGAGCGTTGAGTGTCGGAGGAGGCAGTTATCAGGGGGGGGGGGGAAATGGACGTCAAAACAGGACAGATGAATTATATATACATACACGCATATATATATATACCAATCTACATATATATATATACACACACTCCATCTTTTTTTGTTCTTGGATAAATATTCAGAGGAGGAAGAAGAAATGGCGTACAGGAGAAGACAGGGAATAGCGAGGGCATCCACCTTCAAGGAAGACATTCACAGCCAGCCTCCTCCTCCTCAGGACAAATCCTTCTCTTCGAATTCATCTCTCGCTGCTCAGGCCATTCGTGCTCAGGTCTCTCTCTCTCTCTCTCATCATTTTCCCTTCTCCATGGATCTTTTTCTGGAAAAAAAAAATCTGTTTGTTTTGTATAGGTGGGAGGATTCAACGCCTACGAAGATGCATCTAAGAACGAAGATCGCGGATTCTGGGGAATTCTCGCTCAGAAAGCCAAATCCATCCTCGACGATGACGATGTGATCCCCCATCACCACCATCATCAGTATCCGGTAAGGTAATCTCTTCCCCCCAATCGGCCATGGCGGTTTCCTTTGGTCAATCCTCTCATACCCTCCCTCTCTTTCCGAAATTCAGTCCAATCAGAACGATGGATTTCGCAAACTCGCCTTCTCTCTCAACCAGATCGGAGACTCTCTTGAGAAGGCCTTCGAGGTCGGTGATGATTCCCTTTCATTACTTACTCCCCATGTCTATATATAGAGAGAGAGAGAGACCATGGCTTTGATTGTCAACCAGGAAGGTCGAACCATGGTGGAGAACAAGGCGGCAGACATCATCCAAGAGACGCGTAGGCTTCAGACCAGGCGAAAGGGATCTGACGCCGACACAGAGAATCAATCCTCCGGAGGGAACAGCCCATGGCAGCCTCTGGTTCTACCGCCGCCGGTCAACCCCACGAGCCATGGCTCCCAGCTCAAAGCATCCCGTGATGTAAATAAATCTCTTCCCTTTTTTACAATCATCTAACTTTCCATGGCTGGCTGATGAATGAGATGATTCATCTTCCTTCTTCCTATTGTTTTCTGTAACAAGGTGGCAATGGCTACAGCAGCCAAAGCAAAGCTTCTTCTTCGAGAGCTGAAAACTGTGAAAGCAGACTTAGCTTTCGCCAAGGAAAGATCTGCCCAGCTCGAAGAAGAGAACAGACGCCTTAGAGATAGTCGGGAGAAGGGTAGTAACCTTGCAGATGATGATCTGGTACTGAACATCTTCCACCTTTTCTTCCGCAAGAGTTTTGAGTTTTTAGGGTTCTAATCCATTAAAACATTGCTCTCTCCCTCAACAGATAAGGCTTCAGCTTGAAACCCTATTGGCCGAGAAAGCTCGGCTAGCTCACGAAAACTCGATCTACGCGAGGGAGAACAGATTCTTGAGGGAGATTGTGGAGTATCATCAGTTAACAATGCAGGATGTGGTTTACATCGATGAAGGGATTGAAGAAGTTGCGGAAGTGAACCCTTCCATAACAAGAACACTGTCTGCAGCCTCGTTCCCGGCCTCGGATTCTCACTCCCTCTTGTCCTCGCCCTCATCTCCATCCTCTCCTTCTCGGGTTTCCATCACAACCACCGAGATCTATCCGCTCTTGCTTCAGCAGTCTGATGATGTTTCTCCTGAGCAGAGCCTGCAAACTGTTCCACCTCCTCCAATGGCTGACCCCTAGTAAGAATAAGAACCAGTCTCTCTTTCTAAGCCTCCCCCCTTTTTTCTCTCTTTTCTTGTTTGCATTTTTTGGCTGAGTGAAAAATCCAATCTGATTGTTTTTTCCCCCCATGTATTCTTTCATTCTCTTTCTCTGTCTCTCTGCAGTAGTCAGCTAAAAGAAGATTTTTTCTTACAGACACCAACATACCGTGAAACCATATCCATTAAAACCTCTGAGATATGTGTGTATATATATATCATAAGCGATAAGCAGTTAATACATATTACAGGTATGTCCAACTCCAATGCTCAGTTAAACTTCCTCTACACTTAGTGACTGTGATCCCATTAACCGCCACAAGCATATTCCAATATCATCCATATATAATAACAACAAACATATAGACAGCTTCGTTGTACCCTTAGTCCAGATTCCAGATTCCAGATTCAACTGTCGGAAGGGTTTCAAAGAATGTGTCTTTTTTTTCCTCAGAAGATCTGGAAAAACAGGCTTGTTGATCCATCACTGAATGACTTTATATCTGCAGGCTTGACCAATGCCCTGCACAGTGGGCATGTTCTCTCCCTCTCAAACCTGAAAAGGCCCCCATAAATTCAACACCCAAGTCTTTGAAAAAACGAAAAAAAGACCTCAACTCAAGTTAAAACTCGAATAAAATATGCAGCAGAAACTCAGATGCCTAACCATTCCGACACGCAATCTTCGCAAAAAATGTGTTTACAGCTCAGGAGAACCGGCGTATGCATCTTCTCCTGGCAGATGGCACATATGTCTCCTGCTGCATGAACCTGCGAGCCATAGCATTATTCACACCTACAGACCCCGCAGGTTAAACCATTGTTCCGAGCTCATTTTCTAATCAACAGGCTTTGGTATCTTAGAGCAACGGCATCCAATATAGCAAAGATTATTCCAAACTCGTTTTCTAATCAAGCAGGTTAAATCGTCGCTTATAAGTCAGTTGCCACTTAGTTCAATCTGTGGTGTTACTAAAGATAGAACCTTTCATGAGTCAAAGCTGCAATCTAAAGTTGAACAGATGATCCAAGTTGAATACAACCATATTGAGTACAGAGAAGACTGTCAAGACCTATTTGACACTGGTAGCTGAAACCCATTTTTTATATATTAGACATACATATCATGGCTCACACAAACTTCAGCAAAACTATCAAGCTGGTTTCCAAAATCGGTTCCTCATGACAAGTTTCACAACTCTGTGAAACTAAACTAAACCAGATTAATAAGAACCGCTTTCAGTATCGCTAAAAATGGCATGCACCAGAACAGAACAGAGAGTAAATGAACCTGCTCAGAGGTTGCATAAGCTCCATAGTGCACATCCCTGCAAGATAGCACCTTCAAGGCAGCAAAAAAGGATTGCACCTGAAAATTACCAAGCTTTAAGCTCCATAAATGAAGAAAAGGGCAGAGAGAACTGGATACAACTGAAATGGATGAACAAATATAAAAAAAGGCTAAAACATTTTTGCTGATATTACCTTCTCAACAACAGAAGTGAGCTTGAACGTTAGGTACAACCCTGTCATCAATGATGAGAAAAGACTCCCATATTCTTTATTCAAGAAGAAACGGTACCATACTGGAGTTGGTAACAAGGCACGGTAAAGCAGCATCAGATATTCAACTGCGGTTAGCAATTGACCCTGCACAGAAACGAGACGCACAGTAAAAAAAGCTATTGCTTGAAATTGGACAAGGAATCACACTCCAAGATCTCCCGGGTTCTGACCAAAGAAAACCCGGAGGTAATTTGAATCTCACCGACCTGCTTACGGTAGCTTCGACCTCTACTGTTCTTGTAATAGATTAAAAGAAGACACTTCAAGACCATCCCTGCTTGCCTGACCAAAGTATCTGAGAGAAAAACCACTCTAAATCACTTTGGAGAATATCAAAAGTAATACTAAAGACTTATTTCCATACTAGACAGGCAAAAGACAAAATTTTTACTTGAACAGTCTAGTTAAAGGCTTGACCCGGATAAGTCTGGTCACAAACTGAGGTCCAGAGACAGTGAAAGAAAAGCAAGTCGTCGCTGATGGAACCAAGAACGTACCATTTACCATTATGATGAAGACCGCATGCCAAAAGGGCGGAATTGATTTAGGAGGAAGCAAGATCAAGGGATGGAGCATGTTCTCATTGTGAAACCACCAGTAAATTCCAACAACATGAAGAAAGAAAGCCACCGAGATCAGAACCAGAACAGATGTCTTCCTGTCTCCCTGCAGACATAACGAACGAAAATGCTTTATGGGCGATCGATTAACAGAGGAAGAGCCTGACGACAAGACCAACGGGAAAGAAATACCTTAAGGGCTGTCTGCTTGCGGAGGATATCGTTAGATTTGTACATGACAGCAGCGATCCAGATAGTGACGAAGAACCCTGAATAGCATCCCAAGTTAGAGACACAGAGAAAGCCATGGTTAAAGGAATGGTGAAGACAGAAGAAGAAGAAGAATCATACCCTGCAAATGCTGCCTGATGAAGACGACCAAGAGAAGCAAGGAGAAGGGAAGGACTTGCTCGATCCACCTGGCGGCTTGCTGGATATCGTATCTCTGGTAAGAAGATTCCCTGCCGCTACCATTTCCCGCTTCCGAATGAGCTTGAGCTCCTCCATTCTCATCCTCATCTGCCCGAGAGGACAAGTTATCGGTCTCCCCAATAACCACGGTGGCGGAAACTTCGGGGTTCGGGTTCCTCTCCGCCTCTGAACCCATTATCCTTATGGAGACTTCTCCTTCGGAGGTACCACCGGGAACATGAGCCGGAGAAGCGGAGACCGCCGGTACGAGGCTGTCGGCCTCGGGACCATGAGTGGAGCTTGAACCTAGCAGACCCGAATACTCCAACAACGTAGAGAATTGAGCGGGGAAGAGTGAAGATGCGGTGAAGATGGAGAGATACCTCCTGGAATCACCAGCGGTGGACGCTGAAGGAACCCTATTACCAGCTGTCTCCATGATCGATCCTTGAAACCCCTAATCAAACAGAAACGACGACGATCGGTTGGATTTTCGCTCCGAAACCCTCTGATCTCTCTACTTGCACACTCTCAGGCTCAGTTGATAGAGACGATCGGACAACTCTCTCATGAACCGGAGGATTCAACGTCGAGCTCCGACTTCCTTCCGTTTCCCAGCTTCACGCGGCTCGGGGGGAGGGGGGATAGAGAGAGGGATGAGCCCATCAATCTTCCTCTTCCAGATATTTATCAAATTGGGCTACAAGTCCAAACCCACCGATTTTTTACATAATATCAAAGGTTTTAGGAAATATATCTTCATATAATATAAACTTACAAATTTTATTTATCGAATAAATTTTAAATTTTGTTAATCCACCATTTTCATTTTTTTTTTCTTCGACCGAAATAATACGAAACTAACAATAAAAAAAAATCAAAAGTTAATTATCGGAATATATTAGTTAAGACACGTATCTTTATATGCTTGTTTGTTTAGAGCTACAGATGGAAAATCGTGTTGATTTATTCCCAATTCAGCCCGCTGAAATCTTTTCGTAGAACTAAATAAATCAAATTAAATTTAATGTAGTTTATGTGAATTTAATAAAATATGTAGACTCCTTGTATGTCATTGCTCCAAATTACATATAAATCCAATATTATATTCGGCTTCTACAAACGAAATAATCGAATTCAAAATAAAAAACCATCCCTAACTACATATATTATTAAATTTAAAATAAGATGAATGAATTTTTAGGAGATAATATATAATTCTGAACGTGATTTGGGCGAATCTTTAAAATCGGATATTATATCTAAATTTGAAGCATGGCACATGTAAAAGAGTTACGATAACTCTATATTTAGATTTTTATCTAATATAGGTAAAATGGTAATTATTATATTTCGGTATCCATGAATTAATCTGAATTTAGGATTTCTATATAATAAAAATAATATTACAAATCTAATCTCATAAAATGTTGGGCACCCAGAAGATAATGATCTCTTGCATTTGTTCTTAATCGCTGGAACCCACTTGTATATTTGCTACAGATAATAAACAAACTCCAATAATAATATAATAATAATAAATAACAATGCATTAATAATATATTATTTTTTAAATAAGTTAAAAAAAAAAGAAATGTGGACAATGTCATGAAAAAACAACAAAAATTAAAAGGGCGTTTGGACAAAATACTTATGTGTCGGCTCCTCATTCGCTGAGCTGTGAATTTTCGGACGGCTCCTCCTCCCCCCAGCCCCAAATTCGTCATTTATCACTCTCTGTTTTCTTCCTCTTTGTTTTTTTTTATTTTTTATTTTTTGTCGGACCTCTCTCTCTCTCTCTCTCTCCAAACATGTTCTGCTGCGCCCAACTCCAACTCTCTCCTAGACTCCAATGGTGTCTGGAGAATTATCACTGAGCATCCGCCATTACTGAGAGATTATTATCTTCTGGGTTTTTTTCTTTTTCTTTTTCCTTTTCTCTCCTCCTCTTATTCCTCCATCCAATTCCGACACTCCCTCTAGATTCTCATCTCACAAGTCCGTTCCTTTCCCTAGATTCCGATCTATCCACCGCCCCATCTAAGTTCATCTTCTCTGCGCAACCAATCGTGTCGGTTCAGTTGCCCTCGCGTTTCTCCATCTGCTAGGGTTTCTGCATTCTGCAATTGTATCTTGCGCCATTTCTCTCCGTTGCTTGGTCAGCCATTCGAAAATGCTGCTCCTTTAGGACAAACCCATCTCAGGATTCGCTCCAAGATTCCGGCTTTTGTGGGTTACCCTCCTGTTTTCGCGAGGTAATCGATATCCTTCCTCCTGTCTCTGCATTCAGCATTGTGTTCTTGCTCCCAATCTCTGGGTTGTTGCCCATTTTACTTAGTTTGTGCATATCTTCAATTTTGAGTTGTCAGTGTCTGGGAATGGCGTAAAATGAAAGATTCTGGCTGAGATTCTTCTAGGATTCGTGTGTTATCCTTTTTATTCGGTAGCTTATGTGTCAAGGATTCTCTTGCGCAACGGTTATGCTGAAATCTTCAAAGCTGCTTTTACTGGCTTGATTCTGTGCCCGTTAATCACATTTACAAGCAATTAGACAGCTGATGCCAACAGATGATCTCGAGAATCTTCAGAATTTACTACCGCTAATCTCTGTCATTAATCATTATTGCAGCCTAATCTACCTCATCGAAATCGATCCCTGGTTTATATTTTGGGGGTCGTCCTGGTTTGAGTTGCATTCGGCTGAAGGTCGACAGCTTTGGAAAGCAGCATCCATGGGGCTTCTTCTTCTTCGAAGTCTCACGATTCTGATGTGCTTCTCTTGGCTACCTGATCTCGGAGCTCAATCTGGAAATGGATCATTAGATTCTCTTCTTCAAGAATATTCTTTCAGGGGGTTTGGTACGCGACCAAAGACGGGCACTCCCTATGATGGGCATATCCCCTCTAACATGATTGGGATTGAGGTTGCAGCTCTAAGGCTTAGAAGTGGAAGTCTAAGGAGGAAAGGGTATGCAAAGTACAGGGAGTTTTCGATTCCAGAAGGAGTTACTGTAACGCCTTACGTTGAGAGGCTTGTTTTGGTTTATCAGAACTTGGGCAACTGGTCAGAGTTCTATTATCCATTGACAGGCTATTCTTACTTGGCTCCAGTAGTAGGGCTCCTTGCTTATGATGCTCAGAACTTATCAGCTACGGGCTTGCCTGAATTGGACATAAGGGCGTCTGAAGATCCCATATCCATTTCCTTTTCCAACGTTAGGCCAGAACCAGACAGGTTTTCGGCTAAGTGTGTGCGGTTTGGTCCTAAGGGTCTGATCAACTTCAGCAGCATGTCATCGGGGAACGTATGCGTGACAACTCAGCCGGGTCATTTCTCCATAGTGGCAGAGTCTAAAGCTCCTTCTCCTCTTCCTGTTACACCCACTGCTCCTCCTCCTCCGATGCCGAGTCCTCCTTCCCCTGACAAGAAGAAAAAGAATGAATCTAAAACCAGGGCATGGATTATAGCGGGATCGGTGGTGGGGGGAGTAATAGTGCTGGGGCTGTTGTCATTGCTAGCACTGTGTGGGCACAAGTACAAGCAGAGGAAGGAAATGAAGAGAATAGAGATGGCTGCAGAGGCAGGAGAGCCTCTGAACATGGTTTCGGTTGGGGATACGAGAGCACCAGCAGCCACAGTGACTCGAACTCAACCCGTCCTGGAGAACGAATACATGATGTGACTTGTAATATACGAGAGCTCCAGACCAAGATTTGGCTGCCATGAATGAAACATGGGACTAGGAATAGGGTTTTTCTTGTGTTGGTTTTATGTTTATTATGATCCTCAGTTGGTTGTTGTTGTTGTACGTGTCTGGTTTTTTGGGACAGAGATGTGTCCATAGAATACATTCCTCATTCATTGACAAGGAATAATGATAACTGGTGACAATAAGATCTTTTCCCTTTGTTTTTGGATTTTTTTTGGTTTATCTGTTGTTGCATGTGAAACAGAGTGGAGTTGATGATAAGGAGATCTCCCTTTTCTACCAGAGTGATGCTCAGAGTAAGTGCGGATAAACAAATATGAAATTTACTTTGTCATATCTCAGAGAAGAGAGTCCACATTTTCTCTAACCTGCCCTTCCTTGACTCTAGTCTCACTGCCCTCTTCAATATTCTGACAGTAGCTTCCTCCACAGGCCAATTCCATCACATGGTCTAAAGCCACTTTCATTTATACTCCAGCCAGCAATATGCAAATGCAAACAAAACAATCATTGCTCCTCCACGCAGGGGCCCATGTCCAAAGAGAAGCCAGATGCATCCTCTGAGCTGCATGATGAGGGGGAATATGGAAGTTAGACATAGACAAACAATCAGCACAACTGACCTGTGAAAAAGAATTTACTCCTCTTCATGCAATTACAAATTGGCTGACTAGTGTAATCGTGGGTGAAGTTCTGAAACAGGGTCCCAAGAGCTTCCATAAATGCAACCTGACATGGTGGCTGCTGATGCTGTTGGAGAAGCTTCCTACGAAAGGGCAGCCTGGTGCACAAAGCAACCTGTTGAGCGGAATACAAGAAAAGGTCCCACCACGAAGGAGTATTGTAGGCAAAACTTATCTTGCAGAATAATCTACGAAAGGATGCTTCCAGTACTCGAACCCGTAGAACCGTCAAGTCCTGTTTAGAACAACTTTCAGATTTATACCGACAACATTATGGCTTTAAGAATGTTAAAAAGCAAAACTCTTCTGTGCAACCAACATCCTGAAAGAAAAGGTGAATGGACATGCTATACTGAAAATACTAGTGAAACAAACAGTAGGTTATATGGAAAACTTGCCATCCAGATCATACATCCAGCAGTAAATGCAGTGCAGAATTGCAGGAACTTGTTATAAATGCTGAATCTGCAACAATGGGCTGTAAAAGATGCCACTGAAAGAGAAATACCATACAGGGAAACAGTGAACATGAAGCTTTCGAGACCCTAAATCTGTAATCAAAAGACAGGATTCCAAGGACATCATGGATTGTTCACAAATCAAAATGTAATGATCTATCTGCCTGCGGCAAGAACGTAACAATACTCCAAACCTAGGTTTCTATACAACTACACAAACTGCAGTTCTGACAAAACGAAAAGGTCCGGAATTAGAATTGATAGCTCAGCAGCATTGGAGAAGTTATGGTTACTGAGATCACGGCATATGCAGTCGGATCAAATCATTAACCGAAAGTCCAAGCCTGTCATATTTGGACACAAGAGAGCTGAAAAACAGGTGTTCAGCTGCTGAGACATGTCTGTAGCAGTAAACAAGTTCAGTTGCAAAATGGGGATCACTTCTAAATATTGAATTGAACATTTAATATTGGTGGACAAAGATTTAGCATCTTATGGTAACACAAGAACCAGTCAAAATAGTAATCTCTCGACTTAACCATTTATGCAGCAAAAGCAGTCGGCTCAATCAACATACTCGTGTTTCAGATCCCAAATCAAGCCTCACCACCAAAGATCAAATAGCGAACAAAAATTCAACACTGATTTTTTTTTTCTAACAAAAAAATGCATTAACACATTCTTTGAAATTACATATGCACAGTGATCATTAATATGGATACATGCTGCAGGTTTACCATGTGGCATCTAGACTTGCCACTTGGACCAGCAGATTTGTAAGACCAAACTTATTGTCTTCTTCCAAGTAGTAGTTAGAATTTTGGGTACCAAAACATGCCTTTGATGCCCTCTGGATCAGCTTCAAAACCTAGATTCCGATAGAACTCCACAACTGCAGTTTGAACATGACAAAGGTCTCACTCAATAACTAATAGAAAAGACAGAAGGAGAAAAGAAGAGAGCAAAGGCAAAGAAACACTTATTAAGAACAAAAAAATATCTCTGGATATCACTCACAAAATACAGTTTTTAGAAGGTGTTATACCTTGACTGTCAGCAAAGAGAGATATATTCCCAATATCCCTCTGTAGAAGCGCCCTTACAAGTTTTTCAACAAGAGCTTTACCAAGGCCTTGTCCCTAAAAGGAAAGAACATCCATTCAAAGCCCTACTTAGATGTAAACAAAACCTCCCTCGAAGGCTCCCGACCAAACAAACATACCTGATATTCAGGATCCACAAGAACATCCCAGATTGTAGCATTGAAGGCATGATCCGACGTTGCTCGTGCCATTCCGATAAGCCTCCTCTGATCATCGCCTTCTGTCAAAATAACTTCTCCAAGTCCACTAAGATGTTCATTGAACGGCTCTTTGGAATAGCTGAGCACTACTTGTAATGACACTATGGCAGAAGAATAATATAAGCACCTGAGTCTGATGACTTCGAGATTGAATGCAGTGTGGCTACCATGTAGCTGTTTTTCAAAGCTGCAGCTAATTTCGACAAAGGTCTCCGGGGCCAACCCACCTATCAAAACCACGAGGACTTAGTTTTCAAGCCCGAAAATCACCAGTTCAAAATGACAAATTTTGGATTTCTCCCTCGAATAAAATGGGGAAGAAAACAAATAATCCAACATAAATAACACTACAGAGAGGTAGAGGGTACAATCAAAGTCACCTTGTCACATAGGGCTTGAAGATCATACACATCAATATCTCCACCAGAAGAGAACATGATCTGTTCAGTTACCCCTCCATCTGGCAGAGTTCTCTCAAGGAGAACGAATTCGACAGGTAACAGTTCCTCCTCTTCTTCCATTGTTGAAGGTGGTTCAACAACTTGTGCTGTATTATCCTTTAAAAACCTAATCCAAAGAAGGACTACAGTTCAAGGATTTTCTTTCACATTAAGTCTCAATGCAAACCAAGCTTCAAGCAGAACAGTACCCAGCTCTGATGGAGTCCCAGAAACTAGCCCTGACCCGAAAATTCTTAAAATTTCTACTTCCTGCAGAAGCCACAAAGAACTAAACTTTTAAAATTCAAAAGCTTTCGGGTGATGAAGCTGAGAACAGTGAGACTTTGAAGTATCAACGTTTGAGACCCAGAATCAGTTTCAAACTCTAAGAGACTTATTCGATCTGAGTTCAAGTAAACACGTACCATAAACCGGACTGCAAGGAAACAGAGACTGATTCGGTACATTACGGCGAGGATTAAAGAGAATGGGAGGAATTCTGCAGCAGTATATACACTAATAGTTCACGGGTCGAGAATCGAAAAGAGACAAGCAAGAAGAAGAAGACGAATTCTACTAATCTTCAATACCATGAGAGAGAAGAAGGAATAAACAGAGCTTACGGGGAAGAAGAAACGAAATGGTTGCGGATGAGCATCTTCTGGTGTAGATTCTGATGGCGGAGACGAGCCTTCCCCCCGCCTCCCCCAACTACGATTCTTCTGTGCGTTATAATTACCGTTTTGCCCTCAATCTCACGGTTTAGGCCCACGGTGTATGGGCCAAAACCCATATTCGTAATACAAACACCCCATACAAGTGGCCACCAGCGGCAGGTTTGATTAATAATTACGAATAAACAATAATCGAAAAAACCGAAAATTATTTGTAAAATGAATATTTTTATAGATAAAAATGGTAACCAAAGTCTTGAAATATTTTGCAAAACGTTTCCTTTGTTTTTCTACTGATGCGAAGTTGTGGTTTAAGGGACATTCAAAATGGGAATCTCAGTCACTACAGTGGGAGTTCTTCTCACAAAGACCCACAAACCTAATCAAATAAATTAAAAAACACATCCCTGGTGTCAACTATGGCCCGGGACCCGAAGCTCAGCCCGAGCCTACCCGAAAAACATAAGGCTTCCGGGCTTAGATTCGTAGGCCCGAAAATTATCGGGCTTTCGGGCCGTGCCTAAATCGGGTTCCGGCTTTAACACTAGAAATAACACAGCAAAAAAATAACTTATCATAATAAACAAAACTGAATGTCCTGTAAATATCAAGTTAAACAAGATCTTTCAGTGTCGGAAACTGTCCCAGTCAAGAACCTGGTCTCCGGGCAGAAACAGATAAATAACCTAACTGCTGGATATTCTCTCTCTCTGTTGCTCAATTGTGTATTAGTAAGTATACGGATAATGTCCAAAAGACTAATATCGAGATAACAAGGTCTTATTATTCTCCACCAAGTCAGCCCCGCTAACGTACCTCGCAACGAAAGAGACGAGCCGAAAGGGAGCACCGATCAGCGGAGCATCGGTTATAGGCAAAGGTTCTTCCTGCTCTACCACTTGCGCCTCCACATCTACGTCTCCCTCGGGATTCATAGAAACCGGCACTGTTTCTTCCGTTTCATCTAATGGGGATTTCGTGTTCACCATTGCAGGCTCTACCTGCGTATTGTCGCCATTGCTCCTACTGTGAATCGCCTCGTCATGTATGGGTATTTCTTCTAAGCACTCAGGTTTAACAGGGAGGCTGCCTTGGGTGGATGATGCACTGAACCGGTCTTCTCTGACCTTTGTAGTCTCGGTGGCTACAGGCAGTGAATCACTTCCGTCGGATGAAGAAACTCTGTGCAGCGTTCTCTGTTGATTCAGCTTAATGCACAACTCATTCACCTGATTATTTTTTTTAGTAACAAATGAGAAAAAAAAATTCCACATCGAGTGAATGAGTTTCTGCTTGAGAAGGGGGCAGTTTTTTACCTTCTCGACAAGTTCTGCATTTTCGGTGATGAGCTTCTCAACAAGTGTACATGCTGCTTCGATCTGCGAGTTTAGTTCCTCCTCTGAAGCATTCTGGAACGACCATCCGAGACCATACATTTAATTTTAGGGAACACCATCAGAAACCGTAAAATTGTTTTTCTTTTCAATTACCAAAAGCAGAAGACAACGACATTAGAAACTGTAAAATTGTTCTCTTTCAAACTGTCAGTAAAGGTGTCTTAAAGATTAAAAGAATGGTACCGAGTGACACCCAACACCTATGAAAACATGAGCAACAGTTTCAAAGAGTTACCACATTCTAACCTTTTTAAGTTCATCTTGTGTGTTGGCGAGGGGTACGTTCCTCTCATAATTTTGAATCTGATCCTGAAGATTGGTTACAGTTCCCATCAGACTGTTGTTCTGGACTAAAAGATTGCTCCTAGATTCTTCCAAATCAAGAACCTGCCAAGCTTTGTTTTTAATTATCATATCAGACTAAATATATGCAGCATACTGCTCTAGAAGCTTCCCATTCTTGACTAGTGAAGCAATGATCAACTGCTTAAGGAAAGAAGACATTAAGATTGGTCTGTGGTGCATTATTAGCAATTAGAAATGTATGTTTATAAAATATGAAGATTCATACCTGTTCTCGCAGTCGTGTAATTTCATCATTCAGGCTAGATATTGTTTCTTTGGATGATCTCTGCAAATTTCAAGTGTTTGTGGTGAGAAAAACATACCAATGGCCTCCAGATATAAACTCTGTAAATAAGGGCACCAGACATAGTGAGTATCATGCCTTCCTAATACGAAATGGTTACCTCCATAACCAACCATGATCCTCTATCCTGTTCAAGATGTCTAAGCGTCTCCTCGAAGCTCACCTGATAGAAATTGCTCCAGTTCAACTTAAAACTAGGGAAAGATTTTACAGAACTGCCACCGCTCTGTCAGTTTAGACCTTTCGGAAGCCTCTTAGCCAATCCGAAGGTTTCACACGTATCATAATGTATCTCGATTTAGGCCTCTTTTGGTGAAGCCCAACACAAAAGGTAAACGGCCCATCCTCACCTTTTTCGTCGCCAGTCGTCCGCCTCTAGTGCGTTTCTTTCTTGTTTTTTTCCCCGCAACGCATTAGAGTAAATGGGTGTTGGCATTTGCAATTGCTCCCTTCCTCTACCTCCACCCCATGCTCGAAATCTGCGATTCGTTTCTTCGTTTCGGCTGATTCGACATGCCGTCATCCATTTTCCCGGAATTAGTCTCGTTCCGGTCGCTGAAACTCATCTCCGTTGTAATCCCGGCGGGTTTGAACCGGAAGCACTTGCATTCCCCGATGAATTCCGCTTCAAGGATAACTCCAGCGATAATCTTATCCCTAGCGAAGATGCCTCAGTGGCTGGTGAAAAGAATAAGAGCATACGAATCCCTAAGGATGGAGATTTAGTTCGCTTAGAAGGTGAAGATGATCCAAATAAGTCGAGCTCCGGAGGAGGAAAGCAGATGGTAAGAGAATGTATCACAGCATTGTTGGGAACATACGACATATCATCTTCCAACAAATCTAGAAATACCTCTTTCTGGGTAAATGTAGATATCTCATCCAGCAGTTGCTTCATCTTGTTCTCCAGACTAAACTGCATAATAACATAATGTCAAATTTGTATGCAACATCCCATGGCATGCGAAATGCTAGAGGAGAGAACGTGTGTAGAAAGATATCAACAAGCAAATCAGGTTGAAGAGACAGTGATGCAACTTCAATCGCATTGTACAAAGGAAAACGGAAACTCGAAGAAAACGTGTAGTGGAAAAGCAAAAGGAGGATGCTCCAAAAATTGACATATCAGTCCCACCATTTGTTGGGAAAAGATAACGTTATCTTTTCTCAAATGCATAAGTGTCTCTTCAGCTAGCAGATGATGAAATTGGGAAAAGAATACTGAGCGAAAGGCTTCATGTCACTTTTCACAAACCTCTTTCTGCATGTGCGCTTCATTCTCACTTTTCAAGCGTCTAATAGTTTCTTCCAGAACAGCCTGAATAGACATGGTAAATTCATTTCTCTTATTATATCGAGGAGATAAGCATGACAAAAACCAAAGCTTGCTTCTAAACAGAGTTTTGAGGCAAACTATTTGAAGGGAAAGGCGGAGAATGGAATATTACCTCTTTCTGCAGGTGGGAGTCGTTTTCATCACGTAACTGCTTGATTGTTTCTTCTAGCACCGCCTACAAAAGCATATCCAATTAGTTTCAAATGATGGAGAACAAGAAGTCTTTCAAAGACAAAGGGGAAGAAGATTGGCAATACTTCAACTCTGCCAAAACGTTTTACAAGCAAAAAGGGACAAATTATCAAATCCGAGATCAGAATAAGGTGACGTTTCATTACCTCTTTCGGCATGCAAGAAGCAGTCTGTTCCTGCAGTAGTTTGATTTTATCTTCTACACTAGACTGGAGAGAAAAAAAAACGTAATTTACTATGCCAAAGTTTGAAAACTCAAGACCACGATACCCAGAAGAGAATAACGACAGCTTAAAGATGGCGAAGACCCGAATAGGGAATTCACACGTAAGACTCAAGAGATGTATTCCTCACCTCATCGATCAGTGACTTGTCTTTCTCGGCATCAGTTTCAGCCGCCTGAGTGAAATGAGGGGGGACAGAAGGTGAGCATTTGGTCGCAGGTAGACTCATACAGACACTACTCCATATTATGGTCTGAAACTCTTGTGTAAACAAAGATGACAAGATGACACACTCGTAATAACAGAACACCTAAATCATAAGCAGATAGAACTATGGCATTCACGAACAAGCCATAGCAATGTGAATACTCGCTGGCGCTTTCCTCATATATATTGCCAAATCGACACAATGCTATATCCTAAACCCTAAAACATAATTAAAAAAAGAACTACGTCGACGGAGTAAAAGACATTGCAAAACCTAGCTCGCAAGTTCAATGGGAAAGCGAAGCAACCTATATATATATATATATATATAGAGAGAGAGAGAGAAATGGAAACGTAGAAGAGTTGAATTGTCAAATATATTCATAGATTTAGGCAAATGAACTCACTTGTGAGTGATCAGAAACAGGGACGATGTCATTTTGAGCAATGCGTGTGTCGCCGTCGACATGATTGAGATCCGTGGAGGTGGTGACGGATTCTGCGGCGGGTTTAGTCTGCTGCTTCTTCTTCTTCTTATTTCTCTTCTTCTTCTTCTCGTCTTCCATGCCTGATCCGTATCAGTATCCGACGAATCCGCTACAAATTTCGATACCTCAGATCTGAACACGCATCGACATGAGAACAGTGACGATGAATTAATTCGAAGGGAATCGGAAAACTATTTGAGATTTGGATGCTCACATTTTTATTTCTTGCTACAGATGATATTCAAAGGACAATGTCAAGGGAAGAGCCGAAGGAGAAAGGTGACTCGCAGATGAGATCTGTCATCTGAGGGGGGGAAGGGTCAAAACAAAATACCAATTTTACAGAACTGCCACCGCTCTGTCAGTTTAGACCTTTCGGAAGCCTCTTAGCCAATCCGAAGGTTTCACACGTATCATAATGTATCTCGATTTAGGCCTCTTTTGGTGAAGCCCAACACAAAAGGTAAACGGCCCATCCTCACCTTTTTCGTCGCCAGTCGTCCGCCTCTAGTGCGTTTCTTTCTTGTTTTTTTCCCCGCAACGCATTAGAGTAAATGGGTGTTGGCATTTGCAATTGCTCCCTTCCTCTACCTCCACCCCATGCTCGAAATCTGCGATTCGTTTCTTCGTTTCGGCTGATTCGACATGCCGTCATCCATTTTCCCGGAATTAGTCTCGTTCCGGTCGCTGAAACTCATCTCCGTTGTAATCCCGGCGGGTTTGAACCGGAAGCACTTGCATTCCCCGATGAATTCCGCTTCAAGGATAACTCCAGCGATAATCTTATCCCTAGCGAAGATGCCTCAGTGGCTGGTGAAAAGAATAAGAGCATACGAATCCCTAAGGATGGAGATTTAGTTCGCTTAGAAGGTGAAGATGATCCAAATAAGTCGAGCTCCGGAGGAGGAAAGCAGATGGTGAAGAGATCGAATCTGATGGCGAAGCAAGTCATCAGTGTACAATCAGCTCTGGGTTTAGGGTTTATCTCTCAGTTGTGGGTTGACACCACCTCCGTAAGTTCATCCCATCTCTCTCCTTTTGATCCCTCGATTTTGCGCTTTCGAGTTCCTTAGTTGTCTCTCCAGTTGAAAATTTTTTCTTCGCAAAGGGGTTACTGGATCGACATTTTTGCCGGGTCGAGTCCCACATCTGTTTATCGATTTGCTTTACAGTGAGCTCTCTAAGTTGAAAATGTTTTTTGTTTCCAGTGGTTGGTGTTGGCGGTGGAAGTTAAACCCAGTCTGTTGTCCGGAGAATCTGACAGGTTTCTGCTCAAAGACATTGTCCGGGTACTTTTCTCTGTCTCGAAACAGCTGTCTCTGGAAATTTGTCAGATTCTCCTTCAGAATGACAAATTTTCAGCAGGTTGGTGATGTGGTGCTTGTTGAGGATGAGAGTGTACTAGAGAATGAATTCAAGAGGATTGGACTTGAAACGCTGGTATATGTTGCATTTCCTCCTGTTTTATCATAACATAGACCATCTAAATCATCATCAGATGCTATGTTATTGAATCACCTTTACAGTAATTTGAGATATCGATTTCTCATCTTTGTCAGGTGGGTTACAAGGTGGAAACACCAGGTCGGCGAAGCATCGGCAAGGTGAATTTCTAGTCTTCTAGATCATGTCCAGTGATCTATATCATATAATCCTAAGTATCTTGCTTTATTCACTGAAGCATATTCTTGGTTGCAGGTCCGAAGTTATAAATTCGATATCATTTCAGGAACCATCGAGTTGCTTGAGCTCGATTCTTTTGGGATATCAATCATCCCATCAAGTTTGGTAAGAACCCTTCTAAACTCCGTCCAGTTAGTAATCATTATTGGTACAGCTTGGTTTGGTTTGCCCACCTTGGATGACCAATATGGCCTATCCATGTCATCATCCTTTCCATGTTCCAGTTTTTCGACTTAGGGTGGTTTCAGTACCATTTTGATGAGGTTCCGGTCAATATCAGGGCGAACCCACCAATCACAATCCCGCATTCGGGCAAATGCTGTATCCTAAAGCAGCATGCACCTGAAAACGATGTTTGTTGAGTTTGCTATCCATAAAAAGGTAGTTATTATATGCAGGTGAGTACTTACGGATTACATGTTGAGGATATAATCGAGGTCGTATCAGACATAGTTGTCATTCACGAAGCTGCAGCTTCGAGGATACAAAGGTTGACAAAGGTAAGGTAATTTGTGTCTGTGAAATGCTCACTGTAATGTACTCTGTATAGATTGCCGACAGAAAAAGACCTTATACAGGGCCTTTGGGATGCTCAGTTTGCTGGTGAATATTCCGACATAGACAGATCTCACAGAAGACGGCGAAGGAGAAGAGATGGGAGAAGTAGTAGATCCCGTCGGAAGAAGAGAGGAGATGATGATGATGATGATGATGATGATGATAATGATGGTTGGGGTATATTCTATTAGATGTTGTGTGTGATATATAATCTACGAACTATTGTTTGGCAGTTAACTGCACATACATCCTCGCTGTTCTGTGCGGGATAACTCTTGTACCTTGTTCAAACCAATCATTGTAGTGTTTCGTATGTTTCATATCCAAGGCTCGACTGGTTATGACTTTTCCTTCGTGCTCGCGACTTCTGGCGATTCAAAAAATTCATGCGAATTGATAAAAAGAGAGGATATTTTTTTAAAAAAAAAATAGAAACAACTGCCCCAAGGGCACGAGAAAAGAGTCGCACAGACAAATGAACCCTAACGACATACTAAATTTCCACTACTCATTACTCTCCTAAAACATTAAATGATCCTAACAACGAGCTTTAGAACAAGAACTCCAGATTCTGGTAATCAATGCTCCCGACAAATGGGAGCTCAATTGAGTTAAACATGTCTCTCAATAACTCAGTTCCCATCAACAGAACTTCCAGTGATTGTTGCAGTTAACACAAGTTACGTAAGTGGTCATGGGCTCGTCTGCACTCCTTGTCTGCATCTGATAGTAAGTGCATTTCCTCTGTCCGCACCTCCCGCACCTGAACTGATCGGTCGTGGCTTTCGGTGCACCACCTCTCTCGCAATCAAACAGGGCTCTCTCTTTGATCTGGTTGTTCTCTTCTTTCCTCTGGTCGCTCGCCATTTCTTCAGCTGTCATCGTGAGTAGCCTTTGTGGTGTCACATCACCGATCAGAACCTTCCTCCTCAGGTCCGGGTTATTACCATCCCTCATGTTGAACATTATGGACCTATACTTGAGTTTCTGAGCACCCGTTGATCGGCCCATCTTCTCAAACATCGCAGATTCCACAGAGACAGCTACCCGGATTGGATCGCAGGCTTTTACCCGTTCTCTCATTTCCTCGTCAGCTTCTCCGGCCACCTTGGACAAGGCCTCTACTAGCATTTCTCGAATCTTGTCCCTCAGGGGATCGTTGCATTTCACCATTGACGTCAGTTTTGGTGGAGTTTTGGTCACGACTTTGTCATCTGAGTCCTTTCTCTCTACCTTCATTCTCTTAGCGGAATCACCCCTCTGCAGTTTCTCGACTTTTACAGGCTGCGGATTCGATATTTTCTCAGCCTTCTCCTCTTTGACTGTCTCAGCCCTTGCTCCCTCGTTTTTTAGAGAGGGCTTGCTTTCCGTGCTCCCGTTTTTCTTAACCTTTGCTGTCTCTTCAATGACGACTTTCTTCCATATCTCGAGTAAGTCGTTAGCAACAGTTTTGATTCTCTCACTGGGATGTTTTGCAAGAGACCTGAGCTTCTTCCCTACCTGAAAGCATGAAAGGCACTTATTTTATTTCAAGCAACACAAAATAAAATGGTACATAGATATATATAGATGGTGAAAATCATAATCCAATAATAATAAGCGAGTGATGAGGAGCAGGTGACGAGACAGAGATAACAATTGAACCACTGATACAATTAATTGGTATTGTTAGACCCCACATCGGTGACACTACAGAGAGGGATTTGGGGCCAAACCTCCAACCTCCTAACTTTTGTGGCGAAATTAGGGTTCAAACTATATCAGTTGTTATCAGAGTCCAACTCCCTCTCTGTACACCAGTGGGACGGTCAGCTCGGCGCTAGCAGGAGGGTCAGGAGAGGAACGTCGGGGTACGATCGAGAAGCCGCTAGTGACCAGATTTGCTTCAGCACTGTGGTCATCGCTGTCTAAAGGGGTGGTATTGTTAAAGTCCCGCATGGGTGAGAGAGAGGGATTTGAGGCTAATATATAGGGAGGGTCAAACCTCTATACTTAAAGTTAACTTTTGTGTGGAGTTAGGGCTCAAGTTATATCAAAAACCAAAGGGACAGATAATGTTTCCATGGCACTGCCATGGAAAGTTTGAAAAGAGACCCAACAACTGAACTGGAAGAGGATTTCACGAGAGTTCTCTCTTTCCCGCCCTAATCGCGATTTGTTCCGAACAATTTCAGGTAGCATACCCTAATTGCGATTCCTCCCCCCTCTTTCAGAGACAAATTGCAGAAGAAAGCAAACATCCCTAGACCTAATCGGAATCTAAGTACTTGGGGAGAAGTACCACACGAACATTGTCGTATGACCCAAATCGAAATAGAGAGGAAGGAGATGAAGGAAAACGAACCTGAGTGGCGACGAGCAGGTCGTACGTCACGGGGAATTTCGTGAGGTGTTTGAGGGCATCGAGACATCGAGAAACCTCCGGGCCAGAAGAGGAGACACCGTCGACCGCCGCCGAATCGGCCGCTTTCTTCGCCGCCTCGAACAACTCAATCAATTCGCTCTCCATTGTTTCCACAAATCCCAGACAGGTCCGAGACAAATTCGGACAAGAAAACAGCAACTGAAGGAGAAGAGACGGAAGGGCGGAGACAGGTGCGGCGGAGTTGTGGCGGTGGCGACAACAGAACCGCTTCAAGAGTTGTGTGTGTGTATGTGTGTGTTATATGTATGTCAGTTGGAGGCGGTGTCGGGATAGAATAGAATCGACGGTTGTGATGACGTAGCTTGGTCGTATCTCAACTAGATTCACGCATCTCATTGGGCCTGATCTCTTTTGGGCTTCTTTCTTTATTGCTCCTAATATTGGGCCTATTTTTTTTATAGGCCCATATATATGTGGTTATCATCGGATATCCAAGGTGTTTAAATATTCGAATCTGAATTTAAATGTTTCGGATTTTGCATGTTTTATTCTCCGATTTTATTTATACCCATAGGTCAGGTGAGATATCGTATATCCGAATCCTGAATAATTTTAATAATTTTCTATCAAATTTTCAACACACGTTCATATGTATTTTTCAAATCTATCCAAGATCAATTTAAAACATATTTATATCTAAAATTTATGCAAAATTCATAAAAATTCATCATAAATCTATCTAAGAATGACCACTTATAATCATCATACAATTTATAAAAATCACCATTTATATTGAATAAAAGTTATAGAATTATTTTTTTACATTATGAGATAAAAAAAGAAAAAAATAACAAAAAAGAGTTAATCACGATGTCAAAGCAAAACCACATTTACGGGTTGATCCGATGATGATGACGATGATGATGATGATGATGATGATGATAACGATGATGATGATGATGATCCTTAAAGAAACTTGTTGTTTGAGTGAGGTGGAAGTGTGATAAAAGCGATTGCGAAGCCTCTGCTTTCAAAAAGCGGCAACGAGAGAGTTTTGCCACACGTCTCTCTTGCGATTTCCTCGCTTCCCCTTCCTCGCGTTCTCACTCTTTCCATTCTTCCTTCCTTTTCTCTCTCTCTCTCTCTTCCCCTCTCCCCTCTCCCCTCTCTCTTTTCTCCTTTTGATTTCGGATCCATTTTTTCCGACAATCTTCTCGTGATCTCGGTTTCTGTGCGTTGAACGATCTGTTGATCTGTTTCTGTCTCCCGGTTCCCGAGACGATGAGCCATTTGCGTCGGTACCTTGTTTCTTCTTCATTTATTGTTTCTTCTGCTTCATTTGTCAATTTATGTCAATCTCATCATGTTTTTTTTTTCTTTTTTCGTCGTGTCTTGCAGATTTGGCTTCTATCACGTGTCTCGATTGCTTATCGATCTGATCAGGATTTTGTCTCCATTTTGATCCTCATTGCTGCCCCAGCTTCGTAATTTTGTCTCTAGATCTCTAGATTTCTCCTTTTCCGATGTCTATTAGGGTTTCGGTATTCGTTCCGTCGTTAGGGAATCTGTAGCGGTTCAACATCTGCCGTCGTAGTCCGAGCTTTAGGGGGGTTCTAACCAGGCTATTGGAAGCCGCATTTCGCGTTTCTTTCGGAACTTCGATCTCGGTGGTTCGATACCGTGCTTCCATTGGCGTAGTTTCTGCGGAAAATTGAGGTCTTATGATTTTGGGGAGGGGAGTGCTAATTAGAGGAGAAACATATCTATTGGTTTAGGTAATGGTTCGCCTGTTATCTGCGGCCGAAGCTCGGGCATTCTCAGGAAGCGAGCCTCATATCTCATTGGCTCTTGTTGTTATATGAGAAACAGTTTCTGGAGCTGTTAGAATTTTCTCTGGAATGTTAGCATTTGACCTGCGCATGTATACATCTCCAATGTTGTCATTGGAGAATAATTTATGAGCTCTGGACAGCCATTGCTGTCACCATCTGAGCCTTCTTCTGTGGTACATCATTGTCGGTCACCTCGCAGCTTAGACTCCATCGGTTTCCTTGACAGGAATGTTTCTGTCTCATCTTCTGATGTTGAAGAGGGTCAGAGTGGTCGCATAGATCACGAGGAAGATAAAGAGGAAGAGGCCACTACTGTTGTAGGAACAGACTTCGGTTTGTCTCCCTTTGAGAGACGTCATCCACATCCCACTGACAAAAAATTCCGTTCTGCTGAGCTTCATATCCCTCAGCAGTTCTCATTGGCACACCCCACGAAGGAAAGGAGAAACTTTGTATCGGGGGGTGCAATGGAGCTGCATAACAATAGTCGCAGTGCTTCCTCGTTTGAGATTTCTGGGGAGAAGTTTCACAAATCCAGCAGGGCAAGAAGCAAAAGTGCTATCTTTGAAAATAACCTACTTTGTGAAGAGAATGCAAGGCTGGTTTACATCAATGATCCATGGAAAACTAATGATAACTACGAGTTCACGGGAAATGAGATCAGGACAAGCAAGTACACACTGATCACCTTCTTGCCCAAGAACCTTTTCATTCAGTTCCATAGGGTTGCTTACTTGTATTTTCTTGCAATCGCTGCTCTCAACCAGCTTCCTCCTCTCGCAGTCTTTGGGAGGACAGTGTCTCTCTTTCCACTCCTATTTGTATTGTGTGTCACAGCTATCAAAGATGGCTATGAAGACTGGAGAAGACACAGATCAGATCGTAACGAGAACAACAGAGAGGCTCTTGTGCTTCAATTTGGGGAATTCCGAATGAAAAGTTGGAAGAAAATACAAGCTGGTGAAGTAGTTAAGATTCATGCTGATGAATCAATACCGTGTGACATGGTGTTGTTATGTACGAGTGATCCCAGTGGACTCGCTTATATTCAGACAATGAACTTGGATGGCGAGTCGAACTTGAAGACACGATATGCGAGGCAGGAGACGACTTCTTCGGTATTTGAAGGGTGCTCAGAATTTGGACTGATAAAGTGTGAGCAGCCAAACAGAAATATTTATGAGTTCACAGCCACCATGGAGTTCAATGGGCAACAATTTCCTCTTAGCCAATCAAACATTGTGTTGCGTGGCTGTCAGCTGAAGAACACGGATTGGATCATTGGTGTTGTGGTATATGCTGGACAAGAGACGAAAGCTATGCTCAATAGTGCAGTATCTCCTTGTAAAAGAAGCAAGCTGGAAAGCTACATGAACAGAGAAACACTGTGGCTGTCCATTTTCCTTTTCATCATGTGTCTCGTTGTGGCATTGGGTTCAGGTTTCTGGCTCCAACGCCACAAGAAGCAGCTAGACACCTCACCTTATTACAGAAAACGCGATTTCAACAAGGCACCACACAAGAACTATAAATATTACGGGATCCCTTTGGAGTCTTTGATTTCCTTTCTCAGTTCTGTAATTGTCTTCCAGATCATGATTCCAATTTCTCTTTATATTACAATGGAACTAGTTCGTTTGGGCCAATCCTATTTTATGATAGAAGACAGGCACATGTTTGACAGCAGCTCCGGATCAAGGTTTCAGTGCAGATCACTGAATATAAATGAGGATCTGGGTCAAGTGCGATACGTATTTTCTGATAAGACTGGGACTCTGACAGAAAATAAAATGGAATTCAGAAGGGCAAGTGTCTATGGAAAGAATTATGGGAGCTCTTTGCCAGTAGGTGATTTAATACATGATCACAGTGTCCAAGGTATACTAGATCATTTGCTTTGTCGAGTAAAATTCAATTTCAAAGTTAGCAATATCCTGTTTTCATGATTTAGAATAATAACATTAGGATAAAACGAGCATCTGCTATCAAAGGCAATTTAGGTATTGTAGGTATCTTTGTTCTTCCTTTTCCAAATCCTAGATATGATTAGAAGTTTACCTAGGAATTGTGTTGATGGTTTATGTTCTCGTTAGCTATATTCTTTCCTAGTCACAGTAGTCAGTAGATTGTTTCAGCCAGTTCAATTTTATTTTCATGTGGAATAGGGCTTCTGATTTTGCTCTTCCCAACTTGCAGATACAGGATGCAAACGCAAATCTCAAGTTCTAGTTGATCTTGAATTGATGGAACTGCTGCACCAAAAAGCGAAAGGGGATGAGACGATTGCAGCTCATGAGTTTTTCCTTGCACTAGCTGTATGTAACACTGTGGTTCCAATCCATGGGGCAGAGGAAGATCTTGGAGCTATTGAGTATCAAGGTGAGTCCCCTGATGAGCAAGCGCTCGTTTGTGCAGCCAGAGCTTATGGTTATACTCTCTTTGAACGCACATCAGGGCATGTGGTGATTGATGTCAAGGGTGAGAAACTAAGGTATTCACCTACTATTGCTTGTTCTGTCCCATAAGTGTTGTTACAGCCAAATCACATCTTCCACCATCTAATGGGGCTGTATGCTTTATGTTATCAATGCAGATTGGATGTTATAGGTCTGCATGAGTTCGACAGTGTGCGGAAAAGGATGTCAGTCGTAATTAGATATCCGAACAATGATGTTAAGGTCTTGGTCAAAGGTGCTGATACTTCTATGTTCAGTATACTAGCAAACTATGAGAGGGTTGATCAGTTAAGGCAAGAAACTCACAGCCATTTGATCGAATATTCTCAACAAGGTTTACGCACTCTTGTAATTGCTGCGAAGGATCTTACCGATACAGAGCTTGACCAATGGCAGCAGAGGTATGGAGATGCTAGCACTTCTCTGATTGACAGGGCTGCAAAACTACGACTAACAGCATCTCTCATAGAATGCAACCTGAATTTACTTGGTGCAACGGGGATCGAAGACAAGCTTCAAGATGGAGTTCCTGAAGCCATTGAGGCCCTGCGAGAAGCAGGAATCAAGGTTTGGGTACTGACAGGGGATAAACAAGAGACAGCAATTTCAATTGGACTCTCTTGCAAGCTTCTCACAGCTGACATGCGACAGATAATTATCAATGGCCATTCTGAGGATGAATGCAGAAACCTCCTGGCTGATGCGAAGGCAAAATATATCATGAGATCAATGAATAAGGCAGATGAGAAGGTTAATAGAGAAGATGAAAATGTCAATCCTTATCTTGCAATGGCATATGACCCTAAATTGTCCTTTCAAGAGGACATGATGGTTCCATGTGCTCCACTTGCTCTCATCATTGATGGGAATAGTCTTGTGTACATTTTGGAGAAAGACTTGGAGTCAGATGTGAGGATCTATTAATTATTTTCTACAACCTTTGTTTCTTAAGTTAATAGAGCAGATTAGTTTAACTTAATTTTTAGAATTCTATTTGTTGATCCTTTTTTCTTCTTTGATGTTTCTACAGCTTTTCGACCTGGCAATTGCTTGTAGAGTTGTTTTATGTTGTCGTGTTGCTCCGCTACAGAAAGCTGGAATAGTTGATCTAATCAAGAGCCGTACTGATGATATGACGCTGGCGATTGGCGATGGTAAGTGATGTTTAGTTATTTCCTCATACTTCTGCTCATTTTTGCATGATTTCGCTAAATCATCTTGTGGCCAATAAATCTGTCAGGGGCCAATGATGTTTCGATGATTCAAATGGCTGACGTTGGGGTTGGAATCTGTGGACAAGAAGGCCGTCAGGCAGTGATGGCATCAGATTTTGCTATGGGACAATTTCGGTTTTTGAAGAGGCTGCTGCTAGTTCATGGACACTGGAACTATCAGCGCGTTGCTTATTTAGTTCTTTACAACTTCTATCGCAACGCTGTATTTGTGTTGATGCTATTCTGGTAAGTATTTCACTCATTGATTCCAAAACATATTTCATCAACTGTTTACTCTGTGCCATCCATATTCAAGCCTTGACTCCTAGCCTCCGGCTGGTGCCAAAATTTGTGGATGCGCTTGCATATGCATTTGGCCATTCAGATGCTGAGGGTTGTGTTGCAACCATATTTTCAGTTTTTTCGCTCTCCAAATTTAGAAAAATAAAAATTAAGAAAGTTTCAAAAGAATACTGAAAAAGAAATAAGAAAAAAATTAAAAAAATTAATAAAAAAAGTATTTGCTTGATTGTTATTACCTCTTTCAAATTTTTCGTATTTCTGTATCTACCACCGCTGATTGCCAAAATGACACGATTTAAGTTCTGATGGCAATTGCCGGCTACCGGTGGTACCCATGGCTGCTATTTGGAGGTTAATTTGAGTCGTTGCAACTAATCTCCGTAGCTCATGTATGTGGTTTACATTGATACAACTCTTAACAACTTTTGGTAGGTACATACTATTTGCAGCTTTCTCCACAACTTCTGCATTAACGGACTGGAGCAGTGTATTTTATTCTGTAATATACACTTCAATCCCCACCATTATAGTTGGTATCTTGGACAAGGATTTAAGCCATAGGACATTACTGAAGCATCCAAAACTCTATGGTGTGGGGCATAGACATGAGGCTTATAATATGCGCCTCTTCTGGTTCACAATGGTAGACACGCTATGGCAGAGTCTTGCTCTTTTCTACGTACCTCTGCTCACCTACAAGGAGGGCACAATTGATATTTGGAGTATCGGGAGCTTGTGGACCATCGCTGTTGTTATCTTGGTTAATATCCACCTTGCTATGGACATTCAACGTTGGGTCTTCGTTACTCATTTGGCTGTTTGGGGGTCTATCATGATTACATATGCTTGTATGGTGGTACTCGACTCCATACCTGTGTTCCCGAATTATGGGTTAGCTCCCGGACTCTTTTACATAGAAAAAAAGTTTTTATTTTTAACACCTTCTGTATGTTAAGCTAATCTAGTTTGATGGTTTGCAATGCTGACAGGACAATCTACTATCTGGTAACGACAGCTAGATATTGGCTCACAATTCTACTCATAATAGTGGTGGGGTTATTGCCCCGTTTCCTTGTCAAGGTCATGAGCCAAGCGTTTTGGCCCTCGGATATCCAGATAGCAAGAGAAGCTGAGAGGCTAGATAAGCGCCGTGGTTTTCTGAGGCGGAAACCAGGTCATGAACCAGATCATGATGCCTTTTAATGTGAAATTCAAAAAACACACATTGATATGGTATTTCTCCTATTTGCTGTCAACTGTCTCCTAACCTAGGCAGGAGCCATTAAGTCAGGTACATAACTCAGATTTGTGCCTATGCTCACTCTTGTAGTTGTAGGGGACTGATACATGGTTGTAACTCTAATAGTTACAAGACTCGATATCAGTTTAAGCCCGGGCCGAATGTTGTTTGGGTTGATCGAGGCTTGGGCTTGTAATTGTAAGTTACCGAAGAATGATTGTAATTGTAGTAAATACAAATTCGTGTAGATCAGTGGTTGTGACTCTGGTAAAACCAGAACTAAGAGCACCTAAAAAGTGTAAAACTTTGTCCCTTCCTGGTTCTCGTGCATGACGTTTTTCGCATAACTCAGGTGATCTACACAGAGGCGATCCAGGACGACGCTAAAGCGGAGGATGAGGATGATGATGATGATGATGATGATGATGATGATTAAAAAAAAAAAAAGAATAGCAGAGAACTCTGAGGTGATAGAGGTAAGATGATGAACTGGGTGACATGAGAATTGAATTGAAGTGGATCCAAAATATAGAAGGGATTGAGAAAGATGAAGTTAACTGTTCTAGGAGAGGTAAATGTGTAGTATATTTGTGTTTTATATATTATACACTTGAGGCTGAGGAATTGGCTTAAAGCGAGGGGGTGCAGTAACTACTTTAAGTGAGGGGGATGGATGGTGGTGGGGTGGGGTATAAAATAACAGTAGGGTTGTAAAGATTAAGGTGTGGTTGAAAATATATTTTCTTCTTTCTCACATGAAAAGAAGGTTGTTTTGTGCAAACTATTAAAATCAAAAGGAGAGAGCCAAGAGTGAACTCTTTCAAAAGGGTATATGGTATGGTATGGTATGGTATGGTATGGTATGGTATGGTATGGTATGGTATGGTATGGTGTGGTGTGGTATGGTATGGGGGACTGTTAATCTTGGTTCATTTTATGGAATTAACCTCTGCTTAATCCAACTGATAACCTTTTCTTTTTTTAACAATTATTGGTCCAGATTCACACCAAAAAAAAAAACTCAGGCTGCCATTGACAAATCTGAACGTGGTTTGTTTTGAACTTTTGGTGTTGTCTTATGTGTGTGATATTTTTTACAAGTGGGAGATGTGAGCAGGGAATATATTCCCCCCGGTCCTTTAGGAGAAATATAAAAACTTTGTAGATGAAGGGTTTTAATTATTATATATGACGTGTGAAGGAAGTGGCATTGTTATTATTGTATTTTATTTAAGTGGTACAATAAATAACATTATCATGTTTCAGTCGTGTAAGCCGATAAATTAATGTTCCAATGCCAGAGGCAGACGGTATACCCATTCTCGTACTATATATTAATATATATATATATATATATATATATGATAGAGAGAGGCTTATTTAGGCCCAGGCAAGTTGTTACGTGACACTGACGATGTGCCCGTCGGTTTGTTTTTGTTTTTTTGTTTTTGTAAATAATAATGTAAAAGAGGAGGCCCGGGGGGCAGAAAAGAAAAGAGACAACAACAAGGAAGAATTCGGACGATAGTTGTAGAGTTGGTGTCACTTGCTTTCTGATAGCTTGAGCGCATGTCTTCCAAAACCATATACATGTTTGTGTGTGTGTGTATATATATAGTGGAATAATTATTATCCCTTCTTAAGTCACATACAAAAGCGAAAAATGAAAATCTCCATCATTGTATGATTTGAATCAATTATATAAATATAAATACTAAACAATAGGCTGCTCTTCTTGTTGAATTTTTTAAGAAAAAAATCAATAAAAATATCCGAATTTACGAATATTTTATATCGATGTATTTTCAATTTCAAAAGTTAATGTTGTGTTTATTTATTAAATTAAAATTTGATATTTTTTATAGATTTTGTAAAATGAGTGTTTTCATAGCATTTTCCCACTTCTCAATAGGTCTTGAAATATGAATGTTCTATTCTCTTGTATGCATCCAACGGTCCACATTTTCTCCAGAAATCAGGGATCTCTGACACGTGGAAGTTTTCATGAGCAGGGTGCACCAGATGCGGTAGCCGGATTCGCATGTAATTATTTGCCCAACGGCATCGAAATATATATTTTATTTTTTTGCCTTATCCTCAAAGGAGATAGCCGCCCTTGTCGTTTTCCACATCGAATGAAATGACCCTTTTGACAAAGCCATTTGGTCCATTTCAGCGTTTTTCACACACTAATCCGAGGTTATAACCGTCTTTTCGTCCGTCGTTCTCGGAACCCCAGCATAAAATACCAAGATTAGATTATACGTGTTTATTTTAGTGCCCGGCGTGCAAGGCGGGAAGGCGAAGCTGACGTCCGGATGATGACGTAAGCACCGTGATATCACCTCGCGTACGTCGTTAAACTCAACGGCCCCGCTATCACCTCTCGACAGACGCCGTTAAACTTAACGGCTCCTTGAGGCAAAAAGGGAGTAAGGGAACCTTCCCCGACATTTCCCATTGCGATTTATATTTTCTTCCAACGAATTTCCCGATCCCTTCACTCTCATTTCCATCACTCTTTATAAGTCCCACACTTGACCCCCAAAAAAAAATTTAAAAAAAAAACAAGAGAGAGAGAGAGGATGAGTTCGTCGTCGGAGAATCTAGGGTTGGAGAGGGAGAAGGCGATGGAGGAGCTGATCCGGGGGCGTGATTGCGCCGATCGGCTGAGGACGGCAATGGAGAATCCGTCGAAGACAGATAAGGAGGATCTTCTGAAGAAGATAGTGGCCTCTTTCACTAATACTCTCTCCATCCTCCGCAGATTTGATCACTTCGAAGAGGTTTCTCAGATTCCGGTGGGTTCTTCGGCGCCTGATAGCCGGAAATCCGATGATTCCGGCGAGAGCATCCGCAGCTCCCTCCCCAGGAATCGCAGAGGATGTTACAAGCGCAGGTATATATATACGCTCCCTCATCTGTATATATCCATTGGTATCTGCTCCTTTGCGTCTTATACGACGACCTTTTTGGTTCGTTTTAAAATTCTTTCTACAATTCTACTTTTAGGTTCCTCCATTAAATTCGAAATCTATTCGTTAATCAATCATTACATATAATAGGGGTGTTTTCCATTTGAATCAAATGTCCCTAAGATTCCATTTTCTATTCTTGTAAGCAGCTCATATAAGTCTATGAAATTAGCAATCCGCATATAAGTGCTTTCGATAAAAATGGAAGTTACTTAGAATATAAATACAACCTTTTTTTTGTCTATCTCCTCCTTGTAGTCATTTTTTTTTCTCAATGACTATCGAGATTAATTGCGAAGGCCTCGACTTGATCGATAGATAGCGTTTGATCTGATCTCATCCATCCATCAAAACCCTTGAGCTTTCTCCTCTTAATTACTTACCCAGTTTAATTTTGATTAATTAGAAATCATGCTTGATTGAAAATTTGATTGGTTTCCTCTTTTTGTTTCTTCTCTCTATATGAACATACATGCCAAGTTTCGTTTGATATATCAAACAATAACTTCATTTCCACTTCACTTCACATTCATTATCACTTACATTTACAAAATTAATTATTGCTTAAAGTTAACAACGGTAAAACAAATTATAGAAATTATGTTAGTAAAAATAACATTTTTCGTAAAAAAAAAATACAATTATATTATATTTACAGATCAACACAGTTGTCGAGTGTCTACATAATGACAGATCATTACAATTGTCGTTACAGCTGGATGATTTTGTCATTTATATTTATTTTCGAATATGTTTTGTACTATTTCATCTTCTATATTAATTTATTGTTATCTATTGATTATATAATAAATTATGATTAGTTGGATCGAAAGACCAGTGAATTTTTAGTTATTAAAAAAACTATACCCTATGATAATGTTAGAAATCTCTCTCTAGTTTTTTTTTTCTTTTGGTATCGATAGTAAATTGGTGTCTAGATATTAGATATTTAGGCTATGAAGATTTTGGTTAAAACAACAGTTTGAAATGAACATCATATTAAAGAAAAAAATATGAATATATATATATATACATATACGGGATATATAATTGTTGATTTCATTGTATAATGTTTTCATCTCTCAATGATGACAGAAAACATGCGCATTCGTGGTCAAGAGAGGACTCTCCATCACCTTTTGATGACGACCATTCGTGGAGAAAATACGGTCAGAAAAATATCCTCCGGTCCAAGCACCCTAGGTATGTATATGTTTTGTATTGCCATTCATAATCCCAATCTAAATTCATATATAACTGTAATCGAATTAAATCTAATATAAAAAATGAATGATTATTCTATCTAAAAACCGAATCTGAATCATATATAAAAATAACATTAATATATTTTTATTGTTAAAAATTAAATGCGAATGGAATATAGATCAAATCTAATATAAAAACTCTTAATAGATAGATATAGAATTTATAAAACGGAAAGAATCAAAATGTGAAATGCCACCCCTAATCTTGATATTAGGGTATTATTTATAACGATAACCGTTAAATTTAATTTAATTTTATAACTAAAAAATCAATGTGGGTACAGGAACTACTACAGATGCACACACAAGTACGAGCAGAAATGCCAAGCGACAAAACAAGTGCAGCAGATGAGGGATGATCCGCCGGTGTACCGTACGACGTACTACGGGAATCACACGTGTCGAGATCTCCACGTGGCACCACACCTCTTCCTCCACTCCCCCGACCGCCACGACAACCCCTCCCTCTTCCTCAGTTTCGACCAGGGTAATGACGGTTTTACCCTCCCCGTGAAACAGGAATCCGACGACCTCCCTCCGCCGTTGGATGAATCCGATCCTACGGTCCTCGATTCATGTACGGCATCTTTCGGCTTCGATGATTTTATGGACGACTTTAGCTTTGATTTCTCATGATATTTATATTATTTGACTTCCCGAATTTCTTTTTGTTCGTGGCGTCCTGTACCGTACACATGAAATCCGACCACCATGTCTTTCTTGGTTATGTATGGTGATATCTGCACGTGTGTAAGATTAAGGTTTGTACATGCAAATTATTCAGAATTTAATTAGTGCTAGTTTTGGTCTTATTATCTGATATTTAGATGAGATTATTATTGTCGTGATCCTATGTATTGAACACATTGATTGAAATCTTTTTAAGAAAAACTTCATATATATATATAACGAGTTCATATTTATCAGAGAAACACGAACAAATGTTGCAATTGCAATGGTGGGTGTGGGAGGAAGAATGGGGCTTCTAAAAGTGGCCCCATTTAAGAGCACATATGACTAAAATTATAAATTCCAAAAGAAAAAAAAATTGTAGATGGGCTGTCCTGAGGGTTGGATCTTATTATCTGCAAATTATTTGGGTCACAAAACCTCGGCCCAATCACTTTCACCCTATTAAAAAAACGACAGGTAGTTGCATCTTGTTAAGTCGAAACGACGCGTAATGTTTGCTACCAAACTGGGCCTAACTCTACAATGGGTCTGATCACTGACACAAAACGGGGTCGGATGCCGCACTCGACGTTCTAGCAAATAAAAATAATTGTTAAGCTAATATAACAAAACGAAGTCGTCCTTGTAATTATTATATCTAAAATAATAACAGTAACTTATATTATTTCAAGGTATACGTTATTGTAATATCATATTTACTTTTTGCTTAAACTATACATTTTTATAAAACCTTAAAAATAATTTAAAATATTAGTTATATTAAATATAGGAAAAAACCCCTAAAAAATCTCGAACTCGCAAAAAAAATATACAAATAAACTTTCAACTTGTAAAATTGCATTTTACCTCAAACTTCTAATATGCAACTGAATAAAACTTCAAACTTGCAAATTATTATTCTAATAACCAGTTGACAGGTTTGACCACAATTTCAGTTGATCGAAAATCCACGTTGGTCTGAAAAAGTTGATGTCATCATGTCCACATAACCAATTTTAAATTTTTTGCTCCAAAATCGGAATTATTTACTCTCGAACCGGATTAAATTTCGACCCAAAAAATACTGATGTGACAAAAAATCATTTAAAGTGAGTTACGTGGACACACTAACATTAACTTTGCGAGTCAACGTGGATTTCCGATCGCTTGAAATTATGGTCAAACCGGTTAACAGATTATTAGACCAACAAGTTCAAAAATTTATTCAGTTATATGTTGCAAGTTTAAGGTTTAAATGACAACTTTACAAATTGAAGGTTTATTTGTATATATTTTTGTAAGTTCGAGATTTTTTAGGGGTTTTTTCTTTAAATATATTGCCAAAAAATATTTTATATCGCATTTAAACATAATTCTGCATTTTTATTTTTCAATAACACTTAGTTATCTCTATAAATACACAAAATATCTGTAAGTTATAATTTTATTGACTTCAAAATATTTCTAATGTTCAAATATGGATTAGTCATAACTCACTCAACTAATAGCACCACCTATGTTTTTTTTTTCAAAGCATTTTTATGGTTTTATACTTTTTTTCCAAAAGAACACACAATATTACATCTCTCTCGCTTGGGGTTTTAACGCACAACGCCGAGGAAACATGACATGGTGTCGCGGAGATCAATGACAATTCGTAAAAATACCATCTTTGAGATTTATATTATCATTACCACAAGAAGAAGAAAAAAACTTACCATACCATCTTAACCTCTGTCTATTAACTCGGCTTCTTGAACCTTTTTTTTTTTTGGGGTAATTGTACCTTACCACCTTCTTCAGCTTCAGATTTCTCCTCCTCGGCCTTCTTCTAAGTTCGGTCCCTTTCCCTTATTGTCTGCAATCTTGTAAACAAAGAACGCTAATACGCCGCCGCTGCATAAACATATAAATTGATTTAGTGTCGATATTATCATATACCAACAGTAGGAAGTTTAGGCCTTTCTTCCTTTTTTTCTCGTCCTAACAAATAACCTTCATATACCCAAGGTGGGCTTAGTCATTTCAAGTCACATGGATCATATACGGAATCAAAGAGTTTGTGTATGATATATATATTTTACAGCGAGTTAGCCATCCTCCAAACGTGTGTGTGTGTGTTGTTGTTGTTACCTGATAAGGGTAGTCACAAGGGCCATGAATGAAGTTCTCTGCAGCAAAATGAGAAACAAATGAGCCTCGTAAATGCCTGAATCATGTAAATGCACGTTGAAAAAATAGAATATGGGTCAGAAGCTCTACCTGAGACAACAGCAACCACAACTCTCTCAAAAATATGATTGTTGTTATAGCTGTTTGATCACAGGACAAGATAACTTAGTGAGTGTGAGTGTGAGCCTGTGAGGTGGGAGAAACCTTATTAAAAAAAAACCAACATGATGAATACAAATTCTATCCAGTTTTTTCATGTTGCCTAAACCAACCTAGCTGCCCTTGTAGCAACTTAGTACATGATTCTTTGTCCTTTTAAGATTCTCTCTTGGATGACATCACTTCCTACTAGAATGGATACGTCAATCAACTATATGGTTATCACCTAGTATATGTCTATGGTTACTAACTTGCACGCTTAAGGAACAGTCCAAACCATGGCCACTCGAAAAGGTGATGTTATCTGAACGCAATTTCGAGTAATTGTTAGTGTGACATGAGCTCTTGATCCTTTGGACTTTTCTGGATATAGGAAGAGCCAAACTAATGCAAAGAGAAGATTTACTCACCTGCCTGTCCTTTTAAGAACTTTGTCGGCGATTCTCCTTTCTTCCGAGACTTTAGACTTGCTAGACTTAACCCAAAAAGAGCTCCACCAAGAATGACCCCAAACCTGATAGCAGCAATGCTTCCAGATACCATAAAGGCAAGAAAGCCCCCCAAGAACAGAATAAGACCTGCATAAGTACAAGAATTTTATCAACCCTACCTAGATTATACATGCAATGATAGTAACAAGATACGATTGAGATACATCACATGTTTACCATAGGGTATTCCAATGTGAAAGTCTTCTACTTGAGAAACATCTTTGAGATCATCAACAGAAGCAAATGCTTCAATGACCTCTTTCACATCTGCAGGTGAATCTTCTGCTGCTTTCAAAATGTGTTCTTTGCCATCTGCTCCAATCTCTTTTGCTATTGCACCCAAATCTTCTTTAGCCTTTTCAGCTTGAGTTCTGAGCTGCTCGGAGGTTTCCTTCAAGACGACCATTGCTTTCTGAGAGTTAACATTGTAAGCTTCCACCCACACGCTCTGCATTTTCAAAACCTGCACTTTGAAAGAAGCAAGAGCTTGTTCCCATGCTTTCTTGGATGCCTCATCTTCTGCATCTATGTCACTCTTCTCCTTCTCAACTTCAACCTCAGAGTGCTTCTGTTAGTCCAATAACATAAGGGTAGGAATTTTCAGAGACTGTAGCTTTTCTTCATGATCGGAATAGCGTTTACTCACATTCATAGATCAACACCCCGTGCCAGTCGAAATCTGTCCAGGCATCTCAAATGACAGACTTGAACCCACAAATGCAAATACTACTGCTTAATCATGAGAGGCTTTAGCCAATTTCACAAGAACAAAACATCGGAACTCGCTCTACACAATCCAAATTCATGCAAGCGAAATTTCTTTAACACTTTTCAATGCAACTGTGGATTAACAGTGCAAAAGTTAGCGCGACAAAACAATTTACAAGATCAGGCATATGAAATAGCAGAAAACTACAATACAACTGGGAAAAAAATTTCAAAAACTGAATGTTTTGGGCAAACCAAGACTTACCGACTCGTCGTGAGACGCGGCGAAAGCAATGAAGGATCGATTCAGCGAGACGACCGGAGAATATGGATAGCAAAAGCCAAAGCCCGGAACTCTCGAGGACACGATGGCTCGATCCAAGTTCGAAAATCTGAAACAGCGCCGAGTTAAAGGCAGATGGAGGCGAAGAGACGGCGAAGCACATGGCGTGACCGGCGGAGTGGGACGAGCTCTGTGCAGAAAGCTAGGTTTAGGGCATCTGATGGACGTCAACTCCATTGCAACACAGATCGCCAGAAAACGATACCGAACGCGACGGAGAGAAGTCGCCGGCGTGATAAGAGATTGCTATTCAGCTCCAAGAGGAAAGGAAAGCACGGTGCGAATGCTTCAACTACGAAGGAAAGAATACTGCTCGGAGCCTCGGAGAAAGGGTGAAAGAAATTCGAAACGACGTCGGATTTGTGAAAACAAGTGCTTGTCGGAAACCTAGTAACGTGACACGTCAAAGGGATGGGACCCACTGAATCCAGGGGCGCGATTCGGTGTGTGCCGCTCATACTGCTTTGCATGTACCACGCATTTGGTAGCTATATACACGCACACATATCGTTCGCACTTGATGACACAATAGTTTAGAAACTGATAATACCAAAGATCTTGAAGTCGATCCAAAACCACAAGGCTTCTAAAAAAGGTTACTAAATCAAAATTCAACATTCGGATATTCCACCATTTTTTCGGAGGGGAAAATTTTATATAAAAAAAAAATCTCACAAAAAGCATAGACAAGAAGTATAACGGTGTCAGTGTTGTGTGTGGAAATATGTGAACTACACAATCCTGTCCTGTCCAAACTATTAACTTGTCTTTCCATGCAAAATCTGATCTCCAGTCTTGACTCTTTTTAAGTGTTCTAATCGTCCCAATCATTCTCCCAGCCATCTCGGTTTGATCCTCGCGCCGTTAACCCGTTGCCGGAGATGCTGAGGTTCCTCGCACCGCCCGGAGATTTCACGGCATTACCCTCATCCCAGTCGTCATCCCAGCTCTCGTCCCAGTCCGCTGTCTCCACGTCATGGCCACCAGACTGAGCTTCGAGGCCTGACCCTCCACTCATTTCCAGCTCCTGGTACGGCACCCCACCCCCTGCCCGTCTTTTCTTGCAGAACGAGCAACACGCCCATGTTCCCCCAAATACTAACACAGAAAATATCAAGAAGTAGGCTCCATTGATGGGCGTGACTAGCTTCTCGTAAGATGGAAGGTGGATGAACATGGTGCTTTCCCCTGATTGAGCCAAAGGGTCCGTGTGAAGCACGCACTCTCCGTGCCCAGCGTCCAACACAATCTTGTTTGTGTCACCAGAAATTGATACGTTTACCTGAGGAACAGAACATCCATCCAAGTTAATTCTGAAAGGCGCATCACTACAGGAACATTAACCTCGTCCCATCAAAGATTTCAAGCCAAATATAGCTAAATGTAAAGCCATAAATTGTAATCTAACAGTAATGTGCTTCAGTCTTTACATCAAAATGTTGTTCAAGTAAACTCTTATCAGTTTTATCTTTATCTCTATCCCTACAAGTTAGAAAAGAATTTTGATAGCAAGCTAATGACGGATCATAACCACCAAGCATGCTGATAACATTTCAGACGCATCAGTAAACCAATTATTCTTGAAATAGACATTACTCATCGGGTCTTTACAAAGGAAAGACCTGCACCCGGATCATAACCACCAAGCATGCTGATAACATTTCAGACCCATCAGTAAACCAATTATTCTTGAAATAGACATTACTCATCGGGTCTTTACAAAGGAAAGACCTGCACCCCAGTAAAGACGTCAAGGCCAAATTAACAAATTTCGATTGATCACTTTATTAGACCTATCCCAGAAAGACCTGCACCCGGATCATAACCACCAAGCATGCTGATAACATTTCAGACCCATCAGTAAACCAATTATTCTTGAAATAGACATTACTCATCGGGTCTTTACAAAGGAAAGACCTGCACCCGGATCATAACCACCAAGCATGCTGATAACATTTCAGACCCATCAGTAAACCAATTATTCTTGAAATAGACATTACTCATCGGGTCTTTACAAAGGAAAGACCTGCACCCCAGTAAAGACGTCAAGGCCAAATTAACCAATCTCCGATTGATCACTTTATTAGACCTATCCCATAAAGGCAGCATGCCAAGCACAATTATCCACATACATCTACCAACAGATAAAGCTAGCCGGTTCGTGCACCACATACCCGTTGACTCTGGTGTTTCTGTACTGTCAACTCTCTTAAAGGGTTTTTGACAGAACCCGGGAGAACAATTTTCGCTTTCAGAGATTCTTCACCTTCATTTTGAACTAGAATCGACCATTTTGCTGAATCTGCCACAGTAAAAAGAACTTTAAATTGAAGCTTCAGATCTCAACTCAATCAGAGGAAAATATAGCTTATGCCCCTTGCTACAAACGTCAACTTGTCTTTCATATCAAGTGTTCAATGGACAACTCCCGTCCCCATGGTTGTGGAAGGAACCAACAGCAAACATTTTCTACCCTCGTAGTCACCACGAGACCGACAGGAAAATACGTGTTTCCAAATATGCATAAAAATCTCAAAACTTGAAAACCTAAAACCAACAATACCCAACAAATGGATGCAGATGGCTCGAAAGGGCATCGGAAAAAGGCGAGAAAAGTTACCTCTTTGAAAGCTTAGAGTGCATGCCACCAATGACTTATCATCCCTGCATATGTTAGATATTCCATTGCAGGTCTCAGAGTTTGCCTCGTGAGGGACCTTCTCGGGAGGTGGACTTCCACTAATTGAGCCCTCCCCATTCTTCCCACTCTCCGGCGACTTTGGAGGCGGAGGAGCTGAAGGAGGAGGGCTCAAAGGTTCCGTCTTTTTGTCTGATCGTTTTTCACTATCTTTGCTATCTGTTTGGTTTGTGGGAGGCGTGATTGTCTGTTCGGTCCTATTGGATACTTTCTTGTCGTCCCCAGGTTGTATCTGGGGAGGTGGACTAGCGAAATCAAGTCTATGAGACTCATTTGGATCAGAAGAAGATGAATTACTATTAGGCGTGTGAGATTCTTTAGGCTTTACATTGTTGGATTTTTCATCTCCAATGGGTCTAGGATTCGACAATGAATCAGCATCTGGTAATGGTCTAGGCGACGGAGAATTCTGAAGCAGAAACATAAAGCCACTCTCAATATACATCCTCCTAATCCTTTGATTTTTTTTTTTAAAACATAACGAATTGGAAAGCAAAAAAAGGAAAGAAATCAATTTACTTGTATCGAGGTGGAGTTGTCCTTCGGAGCTTGTTCATCAACCAACACCCGAGAGTCGCCGAACAAGGAACCATGGGAGAGAAACAAAATCGAAATAAGGAGTAGAGATACCCCATTTCTGTCCATCGCGGCCGAGGTCAAACCCTAATTACGACCCCTTCCCTTGATTTCTTAGCCAATTGAAATCCTGGATCGATCCCGAAGATACTCGGAGGATTCGAATCTTCGCACCGAAAGCTCATTTTCCGGAGGGGGGTCAACGGTCTCCGAGACGCATCGGAAATCGAAATCGAAGGGGGTATCACCAAACAACAAACCAAAACAAGGAAAACGAAAGAACGAGTTCGAGAGACGATCCGAGATGCAGTCAACGGGATTGAAGATCGATCAGGAGACAAGACAGTGGGTCGTGTCGGTCGGGTCCGATGATTGATTCTTTCGGATCGGAGGAGGGAAATGGAAATGATGCCGGAGATGAGAGACGACGAGCTTTGACGACCTCCGACCGTTTCGTTGGGCCGTCAGAAAAAGCCCATTAATCTTCACATATCATACGGCCCACGTGTTATATAGATTTATGTTTATCCGCCGAAATATATTAACGTATATTAACATACGATAGAAAAATAAACTCAGAATCTGACCAATTTTTGCTCTTCATCCCTGAAATGCAATCCACCCAATTCAGTAAATTTAAATTACTAATTAATTAATAGTCGATTAATTGGCATTTATTTTTATTTTAATTGATCAGTTAACGGGGTTAGATGATTAGTATATATCGTCTTTAATTTATTTCGGTCCACTTTGGGGTAAAAATAAATAAATAAATAAATAAATAAATAAATGAGAAAATCTAACAAACCATGCTAATAAATAGGCAAAGGAAAGGTATCTCCAATCCATATGCTGCAAAAATACATTTGAATTGTCAATTATATGCCACGGTTTCTTCTTTTTTTTTAAATGTGGAAACGTTGTTTTTCTACTAATCACTGATTTATTTGCAGTAAAAATATAAGAGAGTATTAAAACCCTAAACGTCCTCTTATTTTTTAATTTCTTTTAAAAAATACAATTAAATCGATGCATCTAGGGAAAAAAACAATTTGTTTTGTAAAAGAAACGCATTTTTACATTAGTTATTTTATTAAATTACCTCTGTAATGTTTTTAATATTTTATTATTCTATCATTAATCTATCGTACTAAATCGCTCAATTGGTTATTCGAATTTTTATTTAGAGATAGACATTCACACTAACTTTTCCTTTCTTTTAGTATATGTAATTGGGTTAAAACCTCGATAAATTTTTTTATTAAAACAAAAGTTAAATTGATAGGCCGGTCCGGTTGGAGAATACTTTAATAGAGGGTACGAAAATTTCCAAGTCGAAAAACTCCAAACATTAATTCCGGAATAGGTGGTAAAATTAAAATACATCGAAGAGGACCAACCAGATTACGACACGAGGCGTGAAACGACAATACAACACAGAAGGAAAACGGTCGAAGGATCGGTCGGACCATCTTATTTTATAATAAAAATCTCTTCTTCATAGGTAATATATATATATATATATATATATACGAAACGTGTGATATTTGCCCCCTCCAAGCTCCACCTTCTTCAATGTGTCTCCTCTCACTTGACGCTGCAGCCAATAACCATCATAACGCAATTCCATTACACACCGGTTGTATCGTTATGCGTATGAAACAAATATACGTATTTACTCTCTTTTTTCCTTATCTGACACTAACCCCACCTCGTTTTTCTTAAAAAGAAAGATCTCTCTTTAATTTTCACTTTTATTATAAATTAATGGCGAGGTTTTTAATTTAAAATATTGACATGTAAAAGAAAAGGAGAAATATAGTAAATCTTATATTTTAGAGTAAAAGTATTTGATTTATAGAAGAGCGTTTTCGTTTCGAATAAATGAATTTTCCATCATAAACAAAAACGGGCGAGACGTGATTTTAATTACCGCGGTGAATCGATCGGTTAATGTTAATTTTTTACACTTAATTTAAAAAGGAAAGATGGTAAGCGTACTTGTTGCAGTTGGTGGTGGTGCTGATGGGGTAAGAGATGCGGACGCCGCAGGCTCGGGGGAGGCCGGAGGCGGCGCCTTGGTTGAGGCCGGGAATGCTCCTAGCCGCCGACTGAAGGCAACGGCACGCGGCCTGACGAGCAGGCGTGGTATTAGCCAGGCTGTTGAGGCTCCTGACACCTGCGCAGCACGCCGGTGGAAGCGGTCCGCCACGTGTCAGGTAGGCGATGCACGGTGCGACCCTGCTAGCAACCGTGCCGCATGAGATCTGAGCCTCCGCCACCATGGGGCCGGCAACCACCATGCAAGCCAACACCAAGCACGCGAGCTTCATCACTCTCGCCATTTTCTTATCACGATGTTGGTTAAGGGTTTTGATTAGGGTTTGATTGATGAGCAATGTGATTGGTGGTTCTGCTACTGAGTTGAGCGATGGATGATTTAGAGCTACGGGATGTAGTAGGGTTTATATAGAAAGATCGTTCACTGAGTGTGAATCCGTGCGAGAGAGAGTATAGGTTTCTGTTAGTGGTTGGCACCCTTTAATGCATGGGTCCACGTATAATAATTTAATGCTTCTTTCGTCTTCTGATAAATTTGGCATGCATGCATGTACATGATGCGAGCCTAAATTAAAATTGATTTATGATGATTAAATACCTTGTGCTATAACTACTTCATGGTTTTTCCAAAGCCTAATTCAATTTGAACCGCTTAATATATATATATATATTCTCGATGTGGTCATAACATAAAATTGGGCGAGTAAAAACAGCTTAAAATGAAGGTTCAATGCTACGAAATCTATTGTAAGTGGTCCTCTGTCCTCCACGTAAATAGTTTACGATAAATATAGGCAATATGCCAAAAACAGTTGTTGGTTTTTGACCCAAAAAACGGACGTATCATTGCCTCCCTTGCGTTTATTTATCTGATATTCTGTAATCTATAACATAACTTTTCGGTTTATTCGACGTGAAAATTGAATCACAATGTAACAGAATTCATCGTGTAAAATTAGGAATTATATAGAGTTATACAGAATTAGAGTTATCTATGATAAAATTATATTTTTGATAGGATTAGTGCTAATATTTTGATAGGCTGCCATTAATTGTTTTAGTCAATGTGAATGTTAATTACTTTTTTTTATATTATTGTACGGAACATTGCGTAAAACCTATATATATATATAATTCATATAAAAAAAAAGAGAGCCTATGTATAAAAGTCTAACGTTAAATGGGCACGGTTTGATATGGACCGACCGATCGAAGAGTCGACATTAACTTTTTTTTTTTTAATCTAACAAAATTAACAATATACTTCACTCACCGTGCAAACACCTCATACATACATACATACATATATATATATATATATATATATTCACGCATATTTCTCCTTAGTCGAGAAAACCATATGTTTGACACATAAATTACAATTAATATATTAACATATAATGGTCAATTTCGTTGGTTAGAATTACATAAAGACAACGTTACGAGGGTCCACCTATCTTTCTCCTCTATTTTTTTGTTTGTTTTCACCAAAGAAGTTTATTTACTTGAGCAGTTGGTCCTGTAGTACTTTTTTGTTTTTATTTATTTTCTTGAAACCCGAAAGATGGTTAGCATCTATAATCTTAAATTTATTACGACCCATAGAGGTAGAAATCGTGCATTAAATGAAAAAAAATCTAACAAAACGTAGTAATAAATAGACAGAGGATTGGTATACCAACCCATATTCATGCAACCATATTCTTTATTTTAAAATGTGGAAATATTGTTTTTCTATAAATCAATGATTTTTTTAATGATAATATCGCGCGTGTGTAGATATACAATCGTTGTATGTTTTTTTTCTTCGGAAAATCGTATATAAATAACTGGATTTTTACAAAATTCTCATATAAATACGTGAACTATAAAAATATCACATAAATACCTGAAGTTTTTAACTTTTTAAAATCTCCCAAATAAAACCAAAATCCATTAACGACGTGAATCTGACAAAAATTGATGAGTTAACATTCAGACATGTTAAATGCCGTTAACGAATATTGTTTTATTTTGGCTATTTTTAAAAGTTTGGATATTTTAGCCGTAGTTTTGAAAAGTTCATATATTTACATTATAGTTTTATAGTTACGGTATTTGTCTGAATTTTTTTTTTAAAGTTTAGGTATTTATATGCAATTTTTTTATTTTAAAAATATAAATAAAACAAATGGTTTTAGTAAACAAAATCATTTTTAAAAATACATCATGTTATTGTTTAATCTCATAAATAAATTTAAACGTTTTGTTATGCGATATTAATATTCTTTTTGTTTTATTTCTCCATCAGTAGCCTGTCTTTATCGTCAGATAGTCTTCCGATTTGCGAATACCGAATAGATAATGAAATGAGAAAGAGTAGATAACGTAAAAACTCCCAATTTTTAATTCCGGATCGGTGGTAAGTTCACAGCGAAGAGGACTAACCAGCACGATGCCATGCATACGATACATGAAATTAAAATCTCAAACGATATAACACAACAACAGGACAGTCGGACCATTTATTTCATGAAAATATATTCTCCATAGATAATACGAAAATGTGTGATATTGCGCCCTTCAAGCTCTACCTTCTCTCACGACTCCCCCCTCACTTAACGCTGCAACCAAATAACAAACATCATGCAACTCCATTACACAGCGAAAATATCGTTATGCATGTCCAATAACTATGCAGATTTTCTTGTTATTATACGATGAGAGGTTCATATTTCATTAATCCTATAAAAAAAAAACAAGAATAAAAGAATATATAACACAGATGCTACGTACTTGTTGCAGTTGGTGGAGGTGCTGATGGGGTAAGGAACGTTGACGCCACAGGCGCGAGGCAGGCCGGAAGCGGCGCCTTGGTTGAGGCCGGGAATGTTCCTAGCCGCCGACTGAAGGCAACGGCACGCGGCCTGACGAGCCGGTGTGGAATTAGCCGCGCTGTTGAGGCGCCTGACTCCTGCACAGCAAGCCGGAGGGACCGCTCCGCCACGTGTCAGATAGCTGATGCACGGTGCGAGGCTGCTCGTGACGGAGCCGCAGCCTATCTGAGCATCCGCCACCATCGGACCGGCAAGCACCATGCATGCCAACACCAGGCATGCGAGATTCATCACTCCTGCCATTTTCTTGAAAATGTTGTCGAGTTTGATTTAGGGTTTGATTAGGGTCGTGATGTGATGGTTTTGCTTTTGAGCTGAGCGATGGGTGGTGAGAGCTACGGCATGTGTGGTAGGGTTTATATAGAGAGCTCACTGAGTGTCAATGAGAGAGAGAGAGAGAGAGAGAGAGAGAGAGAGAGAGAGAGAGAGAGAGAGAGGGAGAGAGAGAGGCTATGCTTAGTTGGTGGTTGGCATTCTTTAATGCATTGGGTCCTCAAAATAATAATATAACGTTTCTTTTTTATCTTCTAGTAATTAGGCATGCATGTTAATTTTTCTCTTACGGGTATATATATGCGTATCCAAATTGAAGATTTACGATGGTAAATACCATGTAGTTTCTATTACAACTACGTACGCCGTCCGTGTCCGAAGATTTTTCCAATCTAGATTTTCCAATGAACCCGCAATTACTTGTTTTTCTTAATAAATAAAAAAATCATATCATAAAAACCATATATCGAACGAACTTTTTTAGAGGTGAAATTGCAATTCCATTTTATATGAATCTCATGTGAATAGTTGCAATAACAGGCAAACTATGCCAAAAAACACTTGTCGGGTGCTTGTTTTCACATTCTGCTAAATATTATTCTGTTATGATTGGTATTGTTTTAACCGGCACTCGATATGTTAATATTATTCTCTGAAACATGGTTTTAAATATATGTGTGCAAAATTTCATAATTACGTATCGCATATTTTTCCATATAATACAATTTCACTATCATATATGGGGTCCACTAAATTATGGGGAAAAATTCAAATGCAGTTGGAATTCTTTATTATCCCATTTTTAAGGAAATAAATTGAAGTTAGTAGCGGCGATGAGATGCTTACTTAGTACGAGCACCTATTTATGTGGACTGCTGCTCCTAACCAAAAAAAAAAAAAAATCGTATGAATTTTTATACAGTGCGTAGATTGAGAGGAGGAGGCTGTTACTGTGTAATACATATCTGTGTATGTACGCAAATATCTTACGCTACGCTACAGTGTATACTATTATGCATTATTATATATGATTGTATGTATATATATATAAAGAATTATAATGGTATGCATGTCCTTATACGCTCTCACTCTCGATGTGAATATAAATTTTCATTGGATTCGCATTTAATGAAAGGAACGGTCGTTGGCACGTGGGCAGGTTACAGTTAGTGTCGGTGACACTGGTTGGCCATGCTTCTCTCGTTGCCACCGCCACGTGGCCATACAGGTTTCTTATCTTCTTTGCGGTAAAAATGAATTAATACATTGTTATATATACATATATGAGAAACTTTGTGTGAAGCCTGTATTTTGCGCATTTAATAAATAATTTGATCGAACTAAACTATTATGGGGGCGACTGGTTGTACCGCCGTCACCCGCAAACGGAGTGGTTGCGATTTCCGGCGGTTACGGGCGATTAAAAAACTGACTGGTTGAACCGCAACCAACCGCAATCGCAACAACCGCAACCAAACTTGTGTTTTCTAATCGCAGCTTCCAACTTGCGTTTTGGTAGCGGTTTCCGGCGTTTTGACAAAAAAACTAAAATATTTTTATTATAAATTATATAAAACATTAATATATATATTGGTGATGATTTTGTTTAGTGTTATGATTTGATATTATTTTTTAGTATTATATTTTAATTAAAAAAAATACAATAGTATAATTTTTAGGTTTAATAATGATTATTTTTAATAATTTTTATAATAAAATTATTTTTTTACTCAAAATAAATTAAATTGATAATATTTCTATTTTAAATTTATTATTTAATTATTATAAATTTAGTAAATAATTTTTATCAAATGATACGAAAACTTCAATTAAAACTATTATAAAAAATTATTTTTAAATAATATTTTTTTTTTAACAATTTATATCAAAACGCAACCGCAACCGTAATGAACCATTCACTTCTAACTGCACCCACCCGCAATCGCTACCAACAGCAACTTCTCAACCAGTCAGTACTAATCATTTATAATCGCTATCAAACGTTCTGAAAACGCTGCCACCCGCAACCGCAACCGCTACGGTACAACCAGTCGAACCCTATATATATATAGCTTTCAATATAAACAATTTGATCATGCCGACTTCTTTCACTCTTAAAATATATTCTCATTGTTTTGAGAAATCTACTCATAAAATTTTTACCGCGACCACAAAATTCCATGTTTATATAATAAGATTTAGATTCATTGGAGATATATTCGTCTCGAGAGACAACATTATTGTAATTTAATATAATTATCAGAATTTTAGAACCCTCTCTATGTATGCATTAGGGAATAAAAACAATTTCATGTTATTTTAGGCACCGATTTCTGTATAAAATCACCAAAGATTTGGTTACAGTCGACATATAGCCACGTTATTCAATGCGTCGGTGCCTAACCGCCGACCCCCTGCCCCTTTTTCCTTTGTCCACGGAGACGAAATGCCGCGGACGGACTCCACAATCAAACGCAGTCGTTTATTATATAATGGAAAAAAAAAACCCCTAACGAATGAATACCCTTAATTATATGAATATAAATGAGATAATGATATGGTGATCCAATTTCACTCTCTCTCCCTCTTGAATTTGATTATACTTGTTAAACATCGTAACCGAATCGAATCTTATATAAAAATCGAACAATTATGAATTTTTTAGGCCTAAAAAAATCGAATCGATATTCTTAACAAAAAAAAATTGAACCAATAAAAACAATAACCGAAAAAATCGTTTTTTCAAATAAGTTTTTTATAATAAAAAAATCAAACTGAATCAAAATTTATATAAAATTAAATGATTATAATTTTTTACAACGGGAATAAACTAATTCGAATATAACCAAATCAAGCCTAATAATCCCAAATGACCGCTATCTATATGTCACCATTGAATTCGGTGATAAGTTATAAACTGTGTAATGCAGTGACATATAACAACAAGCAATACTGATACACATACAAAAAGACAATGGGAAAGGGACACGTGTGTGGCGTGGAATTGATTTGATTGTTATAAAAATAAATAAATATTTGTATAGCCATTGTTTTTTGTCAATCGTCGGTATATCGAATTAAATTATATAATGGGACCAAAAGTGGTGCCATAAAGAGTCTCGACCCCACACTCTTCTTCTACCATACTCTTTGTTCAATTGTGAATTTCAAGTATATATTGCATATTTTATTATTTTTTTTAGCATAGACATTCGTATGCTCTTTTCTTTTAACTACTAGATACAAAAATAATAATTTATCTCATTTTATGGTTATTAAATTTATGTTATCATCATCATTATATCGAATATTTGTCATCATATCATATACTTTATTCCTCATGGAATTGGAAAGAATTCCAATCTCATTTTATCCAAACTCAATACCTCGTTTTTTTAAATTATTATAGAAAAAATAATGGGTTTCGGGATTACGAGGCCTTGTTAAATGGGCCAGGCCCATATAATATAATGGGACTTATAACCCAACGGAGACCTTATATTATATATGAAGAAGAAGAAGAAGGCCTCCGCCCCAGCCTTCTGTATTGATTTAAATGTGTCAACCAATGGGATGATTTTACTAACGTTACGTTTTTCAAAATAAACTATCATTGTTAATTTGTTAGCTACATTAATCCTTGTAATTTACCGGAGTTGATATATGCAATAAAAGATATTGGTCAGTGTGTGCATCCTCCATATCAATATTAATATTAATAATATTATGTAACTTAGGATATAGTTCACTTACACTACAAATGCCAAAATTGAATCCGTGTATAAGAACTCCAGTCATTAGATCATGTAATTTTGTTTTCCATTTGGGATTTGAGAACCCCCAATTTTTTTTTTGTAAATTATATATATATATATATAAATAAAACATTTAATAATATATTTATTAGTGAGAAAAGGGGGAAGGAAGAGGAACAAAGACAAGTGTAGACACATTTCTTTGTTTTGTTTTTGTTTTCAATGTAATGAAAAAGAAGAATAAAAAACATCAACCGGTCCTGAAGACTAATCATCACTTTGGAGTTCGGATCCTCCAAACCCAGAAAAGGCACCCGTTTCTGCCCGCCCGAAATCATCCTCCATCCTCCCGTTTCTCTCTACTTCCATCGTCCCCGGATTCGGATCGATTCGGTATCGGATTCTATTTCGGTCTAGCAATCGAAGGACTGAACCCGCGTTGATCAATCGGGTGCTCGCTGGCGAGGGTTTTCCTTTTTGCCGCAGCAACCAATTGATTTCTCCTAGTTTTAGGGCTTTTCCTCCTTTAATGGGCGATCTCGAGGATTGTTCCGTACTGGAAGAGAGGTCGTCTTCTCCATTGTCGCCGCCTCGATCGCCGTCGAATCAGTCGGAGTTCTGGGAGAGAGCGGAGGAAGCCACTCGACTGATTATAGCGCAGGTGCAGCCCACTCTTGTGTCCGAAGAGCGACGAAGAGCTGTGATTGATTACGTGCAGAGACTTATCAGGACAACTCTTGGATGCGAGGTCGTTCTTCCACTCTTCTGGTCTATGTAGTTGTGTTTTTTTTAATCTTCTTGCACATTTTCCCGTTATCATTTGGAAAACCTCACTGTGTTTGAACTGTTGGGTTCCGCTTGAATCGACGATATCTTTCTTGCTTAAATCCTAGTGAAGCTGTCTTTGGGATTTGTAATGTTGTCCTGTAGTATCCGGCTGTTGTTCTTGTTTACGCGATAAATTTCCCAGTTGAATTGTCTGATATCATTACTCGTCCATTCAATGCATTGGATGTTTAAGCCATCACTTAGTTCTCTGCATAGGTTTCTAGTGCTGGATAGAGAGACCATGGTGTTTTAGCTGACCAGTAACCGTGTCTCAGGTTCATCCATTCGGATCAGTTCCATTGAAAACTTATCTTCCTGATGGAGACATCGATCTCACTGCTTTTGGTGGACTAAACCTCGAAGAGGCACTGGCCAACGAAGTTTGTTCTGTACTTGAAAGGGAAGAACGGAACAGAGCTTCACGGTTTGTGGTTAAGGATGTTCAGTTAATACGGGCTGAGGTTCGTTTACCTATTGTTTATCCTTTAACCTCAGAAAACATGCTTACCTTGATGTCTGAATCAGTTGAACAAGTGAAGTACTGAAATTTACTTCTGTGGCAGGTTAAGCTTGTGAAATGTCTGGTACAGAACATCGTGGTTGATATTTCCTTCAATCAGCTTGGAGGGCTTTGTACGTTGTGCTTTCTCGAGGAGGTAGGTACTCCAGCCTCTAGATATAAACATACCATGGCATCGAATTAATGTGATCGGATGTTTGAAAGGAGTATATATTGTCCAAGGCTTGCTTCTTGTCAGGATTATGTCGCAAGTTGAATGCATGCCTTTCACACATTTATCTCAGTGAGATAGCTAGAGATTTCATTGCATGAGAGGTTTTCCTTTGGACTCAAATCGATCTTCTCGAGTAGTTCTATTCTTTTGGAAAAGTAGTCTCTCACAATGCACTTTCTGTAGATCTTTTGTACAACATGTGTGAGCTCTGTAGCCGTAGAATGGATTCTATGGCAACGCTTTGCGATTTTCGAGGGTGTTAAGGATGGGAGACAAAGATTTGCTTCTAGAAATTGAGATTGGTGGTTTAATTACACAGATTGATCGTCGCATCGGGAAGGATCATCTTTTCAAGAGGAGTATCATACTCATTAAAACTTGGTGCTACTATGAAAGTCGTATTCTCGGGGCTCACCATGGCTTGATCTCGACATATGCTTTGGAGACATTGGTCCTATATACCTTCCATCTCTTCCACTCATCATTGGATGGTCCTCTTGCAGTAAGAGCCTTCAGCAGTTTCAAAGGGTGCGACTCTTTTTTAAGTCACATTTACTTATTGGTTTAGAGCCGTCTATTTCGTAGGTTCTGTACAAATTCTTGGACCACTTCAGCAAGTTTGATTGGGATAACTACTGCATCAGCTTGAATGGTCCAGTCCGTTTATCTTCTCTACCAGAAGTTGTTGGTGAGTATTTCCCTGCCATTATATTAAAGCTAAGCTCTTTCTGTAAATTTTGTGGTTACGAGTTTTGTCTTCTCTAATTCCTGTAGCTGAGACTCCAGAAAATGGTGGGCAAGATCTACTGCTGACCAGCGAGTTCCTCAAGGAGTGTGCGGAGATGTACTCTGTTCCTTCACGAGGACTCGAGACAACCCCACGGGCATTCCCGTTGAAGCATCTCAATATAGTTGATCCACTGAGAGAGAATAACAATCTTGGTCGCAGTGTAAGCAAAGGTGGACTCTTTTTCTTCTCTCAACTTTGGGATTTTGGTCCTGCACTTATATTCTTAATTCTGGATTCAGTTGTTTGAGTGGGCTAGAGACAATAACTTTAACTTGCACTTGTGCCGTGTTCTTGCATCCTAAGTTATTTATGCGTGATTTAGCTGAACTCCTTGAATCAGGCAGTTACCATTTTGAATGCAGGGGCAAAAGATTGAGATTCTAAATATGCTCTCATAAACCTTTGAAGTTACATCTCTTCTATGATTAGTGAAAGATGTATCGGTTCTTTTAAATTTCCTTATGCAGGTAACTTCTATCGCATAAGGAGTGCTTTCACATATGGAGCTCGGAAACTTGGGCGGATCATTTCGCTGTCAGAAGAAGCCATATCTGTGGAACTCCGTAAGTTTTTCTCAAATACACTAGACCGGCATGGGAGTGGCGAGAGGCCCGATGTCCATGACTCTGTTCCTTTTGTAAGATACAATGGGTATGCCGCCATATTGCCAGCTTATACTACAGATCTGTGCCAAGAAGACCGGCCAGTTTGCGAGGCAGGACCCTCCACTTCGTCTGGTGCCTCTATAAACGGTAGACCTGACTGTGAAGAAGACCCATCTTATGTTGGAGGCCATGCATCAAGGACAGTTAGCCCCCCTTTAAGCAGATCACATAGTCCTACAGCCTCCTCATCTGTTTCCGACAAGCGCTGTGTAGGTGATGCAAAAGACTTGGCCATTGTGACAATTCAAAGACTTGATATTTCAGAAGCTGCATTGAAATCTTCTCTTGTGACTGGTAAGGGCACTCTCTCTCCTTTGAGTAGAAAGCATCATCCACTTCATCTCACAAGAAACGGAGAAATCTCAAACGGAAAGGCAGAGCAGAAACAGCAGCAACAGAATCCTATAAATAGTAATGAGGACAAGAACATGCCTGTTTGTCATGAAGATCTGCTGCCATCTGTTGGATCGATGCACCACACCTCAGCCAAGAATCTGGTAAGTTGGCCGCAGGAGGATATATATCTCTACCACTCGGGTCATAGTGATTCTGGTTCTCCAAAACGGCTGTCAGACCTGGCAGGGGATTATGACAAACAGCTTAACAGTCTGCAATTCGGGCGTTGGTGGTTTGAGTACATACAAAACGGTCCTCTATCTCCACTATCACCTCCCGTGCTGTCACAGTTTCATAGCAACAGTTCATGGGAAGTGGTCCATCATGCATTGCCGTTCAGGCGGAACATGGCAGCACCAGTAAATGCAAACGGAGTTGTTCATAGACAGGTTTTCTTTCCTGTGAGCCCTCAGATGATTCCTGGGGCAGGTTTTGGTCTGGAGGAATTGCCTAAGCCGCGTGGAACTGGAACATACTTTCCCAATGCGGTATTTACTAATCCTTTTGTCCTTTTCCCCATTCACATCAGCACTTGTACACATATAAGGATTCTTTCCGGCTCTTTCACTGTCTTGGTCTTTTTACACAGAACCATTACAGGGATAGACCATTCTCTCCACGGGGAAGGACGCAACATGCAGCTAGGTCTCCACGTCACAATGGCCGAAGCATGGTGCATCCAGAACATCAAGGCAGTCCCAAGAATGGTTCATACGAGGCGAACCATACGGATTCCCCTGAAAAATCAAGGTACCCTGATGCAAACGGGTCGGCATATCTTCAGTATGAGAAGGTACCGGATTTCAGGTCAACCGAAAATTTACAATCTGGACTCTCCTCCCCGGAGGAGAGCAACAAGCAAAATCTTGGAGGTTCAAACAAAGACAGGTAAAAGAGACATGAGACTGCTAAAAAAGTGAACCGAATCCAGGGCTGTGATTCTTTGTCCTTTCCTGACATTGCAGGGCGAAGGAGATGCAGTCTTACCATTTGACAGACGAAGATGATTTCCCGCCATTGTCGGTGTGATCAACGGAGGTTAGTGTTGTACGACTCCACCCCCCCACGGATACACGCAGTATAGATGGAATTAGGAAAGAACAGGTATAGCTTCTAACGGTTAGGCGGCTTGTTCATCAGGCGTTTGTTTGTCTCTCTGCACTGTCCAAAAAAAAAAGAAAGAATTTTTTTTGTTATGGAGGCTGATAGTTTTTGTTTTTTGTTTATGTTTTTGGAGGCGGGCGGTTGTGGTTGAGAGGTGCGTATTTGTATTGTGTACATTTTATGACACGTGTATCTTTGTAGAACCCTTCAGACGGGAACTACTGTCGGAGATTTTGTGTGCGCGTGTTGTATTTAGACAGGGCTGGTCGGTTGGTTCATTTGTTGTATAGGATGTTTCTTCCCCTGCTTGCCTTCCTTTCGTTTTTCCAGCCCCCTTATTCTCTCTTCAGCTCTCACTCATGTCGTTTGACTTTTTTTTTTTTTTTAAATGTAATTTATGTTCCCCTGAAAATTCTTTTTATTTTTTTGGGATCTGATTTGTGAATAGGAATTGTGAAAAGCATTTCTCCCTCGTGAATAATATAAAACTCTTGGAAATTGAATTTCATAGATGAATAATTCTTCTTTCGCTTTCAAATGGGATGGACGTTAACCCAATTGCCACTTAACATATTGTTCAGTTTCTAAAGTAATGGAAATACCAACCTTTGTCAAAAAAAAAAAAAAACAATACACGACATCCGAGAGACTTTGGCTTATGTCTATGATTATGTCATAGGATCCATGTGTGTGTGTGTGTGTGTATAATGTAAATCTTGATCCTTATGGTCTCATCGACGACCCCTTTGGATTTAGAATCGCATGGTTAATTAATATATATGTATCCATTGAAACAGTTTTTAATTTACTGCTTTTGCAAAAAATGGAAATGGAAGATCATATGGTTTCTCTCTCTCTATATATATATATACACACATATATCGCTTCAATATGGTCGTTGGTCAATGTCATGACTTAGAAAAGCAAAAAATGAGTGGGCAGTAATTAATTAAGAGGGAATGATGATGATTCAATCATATAATATAGAAGAAGAGTCATAACTTAGAAGGAGGAAGGGGGAGAGAGGTGAGGTCGAGGACTTTAAGAACGAAACGAGAAGGAGGAACACCGACTCGAGAGTGGAGAATGGATCCAACGGCTGAGATGAGCTGTCTCTTGACACGCTTCGTGATCCCTCCCATCGAAACTATCTCCCCGAACGCAGCAGCTTCCTCTGTCCCCCCGAACCTTATATCTATCGATCCCTTCAGCACCACCATCACCATCTGCACCCATCCATCCGTATATATATATATATATATATATATATATATATAAACGTATGTATGCGTATATATATATATATGTATTACGTTTAAAGAAAACCCATTTGGATTTCGTCAAAAAAAAAAAAAGAGATTCAAGAAGGGAAGGGGATTACGTTTTGAGGACGCCCGATGATGGAAGGTACGGCCCTGGGG